CTATTTATATATATATATATATATGAGAATACTTGTGAAAAGAATTCACTAATAGATAGTATCTAATTAAAATATCTTTAAGAAATCAATATTATAATTCGTTTTGTAAATCGTAAATGTTTCTTAAAATCCTTTTCTCATCGTAATTGCTACTTTGATCCTTTTCAAATTGTCTGCCATAGTACTTTCTTCTTCTTTGAGTAGATCTAGTGAGGTTTCGAGCATGTTGATGTGAGTTATCTTGAACTGGTTGAATTTATCAGTATCTTGAATGTGGGATTTATTGAACTTTTGTAATGCTGTTTCTCCAGTTGTCCAGTGCTTCTTTAGCTTCAGTTTCATGTTGGCTACAACCAAGTTGTTGTGAATTTATCAGCCGCTTGTTATCACGTAATCTACTCGCCAATTAAAATAACACTTATTCGCTCTTATACTGTACTAAACCAATGACGTTCGACCGGTTTCATCAGCCTAGCATCTTATTGGTCCGTTGCTCGCCTAGCCCGTCCGGCTGAGTCCAGAATGCCAATCTGTTATGAATTTAAGTTGTGACCGATTTTCCTGTGCTAATTGTTTGTCCTTGACTGGAAAATTAGAGAGCAGCGTACTTATCGACCGATTCAATGACACAAACGGACGGACGCTAGAGTCTCGATTGGTCTCACTTCCCTGTCTAGCCCAGTCAGTGAGTCCAGAACACAAGTCACAGCCTCGGAGATATGAATCATTGTATTTCAGACATGCTCTATTATATACAACAAGCAAACCACATCGTCCAAAATAGAAACAACATTTACACAATATGTAGCGAATGAATTAAATATAGCCAAGGAATGTACATTTAAAGTCCAAGGCCACCATAGACTTAACATGACAATGATTGGCATATTATTCTGTATCCACAACAGCCTCCACTATGCGAAGCATTTATTTCAGACATACTGGGTTTATATACCAAACAAACAGACCGCAACGCACCATAAAATAGGGAATAACATTTGTACACAATAAAGCCAAAAAGTGGCTGTGAACGTGGGAGGCAGTAGTCAATAAACTGAACATAGCTTAAGAACAGTAAACCGTACAATAATAATATGTAGGTCAAAATAAGGCTTATAACAAGGGGAATATGGATATACATAATTTAGTTACTGAATATTTATACCATAAGAATATATAAATAATATTAGTCCATTAATAGGTCTCAGACGTTACTCGTAATGTAATCTTCACTAGGATATAACACAAGTGGTGATCTGAAGCTGTGTCAGCTCCTCTCTTGGTTCTCACGTCTTCCATCGGCATTGTAAATGTTTTAGTGATGCAAACATTAACGATCTGGTTCTGTGCGGTGTAATCCGATGAGATCCATGTAATTTGTGTGGGAATATTCTGCCACTTACAACCATTTTGCTGAATGCACATAAATTTGCAAATGTCACCATTCTCGTTTCTTTCTCCCACTCAGTCCATGTCGTCCCATGATATCTTCATATCCGGTGTTGTCCATTCCGACTTTGGCGTCTAGGTCTTCCATTAGGATGGTCAGGTCCTTTCCTGAGCACTTCTCTAAAACATTAGATAACATTCATTGTAATTCCTTCCTTCATTGTTTTGAAGGATGCTTTGATAATTCTGGGTCCATGAAATTCCCATACTAAGTGCATTTTGTGCTTTTTTGGATAGCATCAGAGCAACTTTCTGTGTGTGAGGAGCATTTTCCTCTTCGTGATCAGAGTACAGTGATATCTCTACCGAATCTATCGTTTTCTGTCCAGCTTGTGTCCATGGGTTTCACTGGTTCCGAGAACGACAAGTTGTATGTCCTCATTTCCGTAGCTATTTGATTGGTCCTCCCGGTCTCCCACACTGTTCGAACATTTCATGTACCTATATTAACTGTTGTTGTGGTTGTTTGAAGAGGCATCGGCCTCGTGATTTTCGGAGAACCTTGGCCTTAACCATGAGGCGTCATAACTCGTCTAAATAAAGATCCTTCAACTCACAAGTCAGAGTTTAAATTTTTCTGATTAGCGTGTTTTAGCAAAGTTATTTTCGACGGTGTGCGGTCGCTGAGTCCATGTGCGACGATCTTCCTTTATCCGGGCTTGAGAGCAGCAATAATCCTAGAGTGAATAGGGGTGTTATTTAAAAATGTGGATAGTGGTAAAACCGGATCTCATATCCTTAGGAAGTTAGTTATCGAGTTATATGAAACACTACTAGTTATATTAATAAATTCCTTTAGATCATAGGAAGACTTAAATATCATTTATAACAGTTACTCATGCCGATCTGAAAAAAATTTGAGACGACCTTTAAATACTGTTGAAGCTAACATTTTCATTCACTAAATAAGCTAACTAAATACGTGTACAACTTATCACATAAAAATATATTTGTATTTTCTAAATCGTTTCCTCTTTGTGCTACTGTGTAACATTTGAAACTTAATTGTTGCTACTAGAAGACAGTGAGTAGGACTTCCTTGACAGTGGCTATATACATGTGACTATTTGAGAGCATTTCAAGGGGCAGAGCGGAATTTCCCCATAGAAATTGAAACTTGAGACAGGAAAAACTAAAAGATTCGTACAATCCAAAGAAAGAAGAAAAAGACTGATAATGAGGGGTAAAAATTTTAATCACCCTTCCAAAACACAATAACTACTTAAACTAAATGCACTTATTTATGTATTAGTTTTAATGGTATTCGATCAATAACACATGACTGAAATAGGGGAAATACAAAAAGGATTAATACAGAATCAATACAAAATGTATACTGTATTTTATATTGAATAAACTGTACACTAAATTATTACAAGGAATATAATACCGAATAAATTTCACACAGAAATAAAACGTGTATTATGATGAATAAATAACACATTGAATTGAAAACGGATGTACCAATCAACTAGAATCGCATAGAATTAAAACATGAAATGTTTTATCACGTTCTAATAACGTCAATGTTTTTAGAATCTATAGTTATAATAAGTGTACGTTTCAACTATGCTATTATGTGTAATATAACTATATACAAACCATTTTATGAATTACTGTTTAAACTTCACAGCTTAGTGACTGATACTATCTCTACCATTATGGGATTTGAATCGACAACTGCATCTCTGTGCTAATGCGGTATGGCAACTCGAAGTGATGTACGTATGTACGAAGTTCTACATTGTTGCTGACTGACTGACTAGTTTGTAAATATTTATTATATGGTATATATTCATGAAGGTGGATTATTTGTACAGCAAATAAATTTGCTTAAATAAACCGATGAATAATTTTACGAATTAAAAATAATTTTTTAACCAAACTACTACGTAATAATGCAGAATTAATTTGTCCCATGATTGTTGGTTGTATCGGAGATTTTCCTTCAGCTTGCATTCACTCATCTACCAACAGTAAATTATAAATATTGGTTAATAATTCCAATCGTAACTGTTTCAGGTCTATTAAATTATATCGAATATGCAGCCCTGTAAAGGCAGGCGGGACGTAAAGCTTAATCAATAATTTGGAACTTCATTTTTGATTATTCGGTTGATATCGGAATAATCACTGACAGTCATACTATCTTGGATAAATAATATATGGACAAACGGTAGATTTCTTTAATATTCTATCCGTTGGCCAGTGTTTCTGCTTTTTTCGTATTGTGTTCAAATATTGGTTTTGTGTAAATTATCAACTTGATTATTTGATCATAATAGTTACCACATTGATATATTTTAATAATGCAATTCATTCATCAAGTCCACGTATTCTGTACCCAGCTTTCATCTACAATGGTTTGTGTAAAGACTACTGATACATTTCAGCTGACCAGACGTAAATGGATAAGATGGGGTTCAGACCAAGAGACCTATCGATTAACAACCTTATATGAAAATTTATAATCATATCGCACATAGATATATAGAGCAATTGGGATCTATCACTCGTATAGTACTTCTATAGGTTTTCTTCGCACATAGTAAGAACATAACGAATCTTAAAATCTTGAAAATTCCCTATCTCACGTTTATTCTTCTTGACGATCTGAAAAAAATCATACAGTTATTTTACAACATACACTGAATTTGTTTAAAAAGGAAGCTAAATGACAATTAGTTAACCTAATAATAGTTACAGTAAAAGAATTTACCAGTAGAGATTTGTAAAATATGTTTCTACAATTGCTATGATTGATTCGTTAATAGTTCAAACAACATTGTGACACAATAACTTTACTTGAAATTGTTTTCTTTGTTTTTGTTTTAAATGAAGGACAAGTAAGTGAAACTATTCAGAGATTTCAGTAAATATTAATTCTTAAATAGTCAATTATTCTTTTAACAGTTTATATAGATACAATGTTATAAGGTTAAAAAGAAACTTAGAAATAACCTTGTGAAATATGTAAAAGAAAATTTGATCACATATAAATCACATGAGAATGATACAAGAAAACAAAAGAGGAGATGGGTGATGATAACAGTGAAAAGTGTAAATAGTTATTCATATAAAAATGTGTTCATGTCATAAAACATTTTACTTCTGTTATAAAAAGAGAAAAACAACAACAACATTCCAATGATTAAAACGAAAAGGAGATAAATTATTTTTTTTGAAACCAGGTGTTTATATTTTCCCTATTTCAATACTTTATTTAACATAAACACATTAAATGTTAGTATGATAATGTGATAGGCAAAAATTAGCCTGAATAGAAGGATTTTGACAACCACCTTTACTGAATGTTCCCTGATTCTTTTTATAATTAGAAGTAGGTTAAATCACAAATTGATATGAGGTAGGAAAGCATTGGATATTTACTTCATTCATCTTCTAAAAATCGATAGGAAACCTGACATATCTCAATGAAGAATAACTGTTAGGAATTATAAATGGACTACCATTGCATATATTCCTACTGGATAATTATTAAGTAACTATATATATATATATATATATATATATATATATATATATATATATATATATATATATTCTTATTCCTTTCGTTTGTCCTATTGGCTATTGCGATACGACTTACCAATCTTAACTTACTCCCGATTTATTAATTACAGTCTCTCACACTCACAGACACTTTGGGCGTAATCGTGTATAATTGTTATTTTCTATTTTGTGGTGTGATACGGTCTGGTTCGCTTATACATAAACTGTGTATGTCTGAAATACATGATTCATATAGTGGTAGCTGAGATTTTGTTCTGAACTCAACAAACAGGGCTAGGTGAGAAGAACCAAGAAGGACTCAGAGTTGACTCTAGGCTGCTTGTACTGGTTTGACACAAGGCCAAAGTCGTATAAGTCGGTGTTCTGATCGGTGATCTTATCATGCAATAATTGACGGGCTATATGATATAATAATACTGATTCTCCTCTAAAGGGAACAAACTATTTATCAAGAACTTTCCACCTACCAATACACACAGTAACTAACACTAAACCTTCAATCCGGCATAGAAACACTTGGATTATTCGACAAGACGTTCAATGAATTACTTAACACACAAATAAGCACAAACAATGTATTTTGTGTAATGATTTTATTCATGAAAACAAAACGTTAAAATAAATAATACTGACCTGATAAAGTTCAATAGCACATGAGAGTGACGCGAGAGATAGAGAAAACAAAAAATAGTGTTCAAAATAGTAAGAAAGGAAGCAAAAAAGCGAAACAATGCAAAGAGCTACATGAACACACAACCGCCTTCAAGCATATCAATATAAGTATATGCAGAATGAATCTACACGGATAATATTAATATAATAACAGAAAGTATGCAAATGTGTAAATGTAATGAAATCATGGAGTTTGACATGCTCAACTAGTTATTAAAAATGCTTTTTTTCATCATAAATATTTATATTCTCTGTTCGATAGGATGAATATTCTCTGAAGTTTTTTCTGTATTTAATCCAACTACTGTAAACACATTAGATGAGTCTGCCTAGAAAAACAAAATGGAGATGAAATAGGGAAATGAGGTCGAAAGGCATAGATCAAAAAAACAACAAATGAATCGATTGAATTATTAACCAGATACTTCGGTTTCTCAAACTGAAATAGGTGGAGTGATGTTCGAATCAGACGCCTTAACCGCTATGCGCAGAACAAGTGTAAAATGATCAAAAATTAATGAAGCGTTTGCGAATTGCTCTAAGCTAATTTTTATTATTGAGATGTTTCATGGGAATTATACGCTAATTCGCTGCTCTTACAAAATCTTGGTAATTAGATGAAGTTTTTTTTACTTTGATAGAAATTTAAGTTTATTCAAAAAGAATGTGGGGATTAATGAGTTAAACAGTAAAGAATTTATCAATTAATGGACTATGATACGTTAATAGATGTTGAGGGCGAAAATAGTAACGAATTTGCAAGTGGTAACAAAGGTTTATTTGTGAGATAATTATAATAATAGTAACAGTCAGCAATCATATTATTATTTGGTGCTACGAAACTAAAAAGATCCCTTACAGTTCCGGAATTATTTCGATTCAAGTAGAATGGTAGCTTCATGGTTTTGTTCGAAATTCTAGCCACTAAGTGACAGGTTTGAACTCCGTTCCCCTATTTCGGTTTCGGAAATCGAATAGTCTATATCAATAACCTTCATATTTAGAGTCTGGTTTACAGAAAACACATGGATTTATATATGGTAATGAGTTGATAGTAGTGATAATATGATACCAGGCAGTTCCATAGTAAATGTTAGCCAGTAGTTAGGACTGATAATCGAGTCGTACCATTTACCTTTATTAATTGGAAACATTGATACACAGTAAAATTGAATTTCAAAATGGTCTAAGACATACAGGTTTTGTGTACGACAATTGTGGTAAAAAGAAAATGTATGTAACCAAGATTACTATTACTACTACTACTAAAATAATGATGAACTTACCGGTTTACGTGTTTTTGACTTTTTTTGCCTCTTTCCAACATTACAAATATTTAGTGCAGGTACTCCTTCATCGGCTTGATTCAGTTTTCCTGTGATCTAATTATTAAAATAACACAAAAACAACAAGAAAATGAATAACTTATATCTATCTATCATGCACGTATATACTGCATGGTGAACATAAAGTAAATGGTTGATACCATTATGATAGGATTCAAATGTACTGTCATAAGTAATGCAGGGATTTCTTGGCATTAGTTTTATTATTATTTTTAGATTAGTGGTTTAAGTGCTATTTGTTATTCTGTTCAATAAGACAATAATTTCGCTTTTAAATACCCGTTAAATTTCTTATCGGAATGTGGTAATTCTCTTTTTTTTTCAACAGAAAAATAATATAGTTTTATGGTCTTTTATTGAAGGAAATGGTTATTTATTTATATCTGTTTATATAAGTAAAGCATAGGTCTTTATTTTATGCCATAGTTTACAGGACATATTGGCCTATTTAAACCAACAACCAGGAAATATATTTAGGACGAATAATATGATTGTTAGTTGATATTAAACAAATTAGTGTTGGAGATGGTTGAACACGTACAACACAAGTGCCATCCACCTTATTATATGAAGGTTTACAGCCTCATTGACCAATTTACTATCTCTAAATGGTCCCCAACAACTAATTTTCATTAATCCACCATATCCCTATATTGCTTTGAAGAAATCTGTGATCAAATACTGACAATCAAAGCGAATCTTTAAATTTAGTATACTATGTTTCACAGTCATAAAGTAACATATAGCGAATTTCGGGACAATTTACTCACACTTTAGTAAGCAGGTGAACATATTACTTGTGCTACAATTGGTGGAAATTAACAAAAGCCTAACAATATTATTGTATCCATATGAATATGAGACTGTTTACTATGATCACTCTTACACTGACTATATAACTGCTGTTTTCCAAACATACCATGAAAAAGATATTGACAACTTAGTATATAATCAGCTTGTCATAAATGCATTTCACATCCATCTACCAATTTAAGACAGCATATTTTACAAAATATTATCAAAAATACAAACAAATATACTTATTTGTCTACTGTTTAGACTTAAACATATGTAAGTGCGTTGAGAGCAGTTGGAAGATAACTCTATTTAGTAAGTAGATTAGATGAGTGAGTATTTTCATTACAACTGAAACAACTAATTTTATCATTGCAAGGTGCTTATCATGAATGACGACAACGTAATTTCTCTTTCTCAGTTTCATGTTGGAATAGTATTCTGACTGATAAAACATAATTACATGAAAAAGTAAACAGTGTAGGGTTCAGATAAGCTGTGAAATGCTGTTTATTCGCCAACACAGATAGTTGAACAAGCTGGTCTATGTGAGTTAGATAGATTGTTAAATGTCCCATAAAACCAAGTTACAATAACTGCTATAACACACACTTGAGTATTTAATTCGGGTGCATAAATAGACAGAGGGAACATAAAACGAGAAGTATTTAGAAATTTACAGAATAATTTGTTTTAGTGTAAACAACTAACTGAATTAAACTTACATCTTTCAACATTGATTGAGATTCTGACAACTGTTTACGAAGTTGAATCTGTTCGAATTCACTTTCTGATAAAAGTTGACGCCATTTACTTTCTGTCTGTTTAACAGATTCTTCTAGTTTCGCTAAAACTTCTTCGGTTTGTATTAAAGTTGACTAAAAGTCAATAAGAATATGAAACAAGTTAGAAATGAAAAAAAAACACCTGTCCTATGTTACGAATTCGTAAATTCTAAAGTTGCTAATGATGAGAAATCCAAGATATATTTTAGTCCGTATATATTAATCAGACCACCAATTTGGGAAGCTGTTTTAGTCAAGAAGAACATAATACAATTAACTGAAACATTAATCTAGTTAGAGACTAGAGTGGTAAGACTGCTTGCTTCGTATGAGTGAGGTCCCGAGTTAAATCCTAGGCGACAAATTCAGTGACATGAACCCCGCTCCATCTACTTCAGTTAGGACAGCCAGGTAGTCCCACTGGCTATGAAGCCAAGTACACGAACTTGTTCCAAGTAAATAAGTTGGTAATTAGAAAGATGGTATATTCAACAAGACAACTGTGTAATAATAGGTTACTTATAATGGATTAGAAGTGATAACTAAATGCAAACCAATGTCAGTCAGTCATAACCAATGTAGAGATTGGTGTAAATGTGCGTTAGCCCAATATTAGTGTGAAGTTTTCAGAAAATTAAGTAAACTTAGAATGTAAATCTGAATGAAAACAGTGTAATTGTTATTACTACATAAAGGTGGAGTCCGACTCGTACATCCAAGTCGTGCCTCCTAGATAGTGGGATCTAGTCTCATAAGCCAAGGCAAGAGGCTAGACGGAGATCAGGTCAATCTCCCACTCTATCGAAGATCAACTGATTACTAAGAGCTTAGAGATGATACACATACCTACTGAGGATGACGTTGACAATCCAGACAGGGAATTGAGGGAGCCATCCTTAACGATAGCCTTAAAAAATTACATATCTTGAAAGTAACTTCTAAAACATAAATTAACATTTTCAAAAATAACAGACTGAAGGAAATTACTATTTTGGATGGCTTTTTCAACTATACTTGACACAATTTGCAATACAGACTTGAAAACAATTATTTAGCTCAAGAGGTTTACAGATGATAGTACTTTAAAAACAAATCAACGCTGGTCCAGCTTCATTTAGTTTGATGAACACAGACAAGCAACATACATGATGACTGAGATGAATATATCCACTTTATTGTCGTGTATATTCTTACTCAAATATAATACGCATGTAAACATATGACTTGTAATCACATTAAAAACATAATCAACATATAAACATGGTTGAATAAGTGACAACTTACAAAATGTTCGATAAAATGCTTTTCAAAGTTCGATTAAAGAACCTTGAAAAGAATTACCCAAGAGAACTAATTTATTGTACTTGTCAGTATGAGGTTGTGGAGATTGTTGAATTTCATTAAAACCACTGACTGATCTAAGTTAGACTACCATTGAAAGCCTGGAAGCACTGGGAGGTCGTTTCTTCCTAGTACGAGACTCTTCAGCAGTGCACATCCACAACCCCGCACACGGGGTTCGAACGTAGGACGATCGACCTCGTGAGCAAACGCTTAACCTTTAGACCACTGAGGAGGGGTGAGAAATTTTCTAATGCACTCAAAGATTCAAAGTCTTTTGTTTATATTTAACATGTAAATTGCCTCATCATTCAACGAATACTATGTAAAATAAACGAAACAATGGAACTTTTTACCTTGTAATGATCCACTTCATTTAATGCAGATTGATAAAGATTGTAAAATTTGGCACGTTCTTTTTCAGCAACATTGAAATTAGTTTCAACTTCGGATAATCGATTACGTAAATCTTCATAAATATTATTATTACTAATACGTAGTAATTCGTTTTCATGTTGTTCATCTTGTTTACTAATGCATGTTTCGTCTGATTTAATATTAATTATGATTGGTTCACCATTTAAATCATTATTATTACTGGACGATTTTGTTGTAGATTCTAGCTGGTATGTCAATTCATGAACTTTTTGTTGAGTATTATTTAATTCAGTAGTAACACGTATTAAATCATTGGATAAATTTACCACTTGTGCTCTTAATTCACTAGAAGCTGTTTCATAAGCTAATTTCGATTGATTAGCATTATCAAGTAGGCATTGTTTTTGTACATTCAATTCCTAATTAGACAAGGATATAAAAATACTGAGGTAAATAGAAATGTATTCAAGCACAGTAAAACTGTTTAGGGTCTAACGAAAGCTAACAATTGTTGAGGTGAGTAATACTGAGGTAGATGATAAGATTTGTGGGGTTATTCATTTATTATAAAACAAGCTTGTACTGTTTGAATAATCCTACTGTACCAAAGCAAGAAACTAAAAACACTAGGAAGCTATAAGTAATCAGAATGACAAAGATAATGAGAACATGTAGACAATGTAATCAGTTATGGCAATAGTTAAACTTATAGTCCGAAACCTATTTAAATTACTGGATAAGTTGGGATGAGTTATACTATTTTATGTCACAAAGACAAAGAATTTTTAAACTCAAGTATACATATGTGAATATTTTTTTATGGATACAGAAAATAAGTTTCTACTAGTGAAGGTTATTCGCAGTTTTGCCGCGTTAAATGTTCTTCGAAGGGATCTCTTTACTTATGTCTTAATATTCTCATTGTTTTATTCGTAAATGCTCATCATATCACCTTATTTTTTACACCTCTATGACCTATTAATTATTATGACAAAAACATTTTAATCATTTTATTATATTCACTAAATCTATTGTTATTGTTATTATTCGTATTACGTAATATAGTATAACCTTTTTTATTAACTATGTTCACATTTCCACACGGAATTAGTACTTTTACAAAAACAAAATTTTCATATATATACGATTGTACATCTTGATAATAAATTCGTTGAAAACAGATCCCTTCGAAGAACATTTAACGCGGCAAAACTGCGAATAACCTTCACTAGTAGAAACTTATTTTCTGTATCCATAAAACATAAGCTTCCGCGTCTGGTCGCCTCCATGTGTATCTATCAGTTCACCTGCTCTTGTGGAGCAAGGTACATTGGCCACAGCCAGCGCTCGCTTTCAACTCGAATATTTTTTTACTTAATCTATGCATCTTTTTTACAAATCTAAAAGTGTAGTAAAGAGAGTATCATTATTCATCCATAATTATTAGTGTTTGATGTCTTTAACAACATAATTTACAGTTTTAAAATGACACACACAATGTCATTACTTTACTGATAACTTGAAATACCTTTAAAGACTTTTATCCAATCAATGATATTTTACTGTTTGGTATTTCATAACAGAACTAGTAATTATTATTTTCAACTCATCTTATGATTCATTGACTTTTTCAATGTGACACGTGATGTATCTGTAGTTCAAGATTACTCAAACATGCTATACGTAATGATATACTAAATAATCCTTTTCTGTAGAGAAAGGAGATGGAAGTAATAATCACTAATGAAAGAATCACTTACAGCAAACTGATATTCAAGACTGCTAATAATTTCAGATTGACGTTTTTCTTTCTGTAAACTTCGTGATAGTTCAGCTCTTACCTCAGATAGAGAAATAGACAACTCCTATAAGAGAATTTAAAAAAACTCGTCGAAAAATTGAAATTTCTTGTGTTGATAACAGTAATGTCATCAATAAATGTTCGCAATATTTGATTATTTTTTATGATTCTTATTGGTAATGTCAGTTAATGATGAAATTTCTGATAATATATATCATACATTTTATAAAAACAACGTATTACTTACTTACGCCTATTACTCCTCGTGAAGGAACATAGGCCACTCACTAGCATTCGCCATCCAACCCTGTCCTGGGCAATCCTTTCCAGCTCCTTCCAGTTGTTATTCATCCTTTTCATATCTGCTTCTATAATCCGACGTAATGTGTTCTTTGGCCTTCCTCTTTTTCGCCTCCCTTCAGGGTTCCAAGTTAGGGCTTGCCTCGTGATGCAGTTTGACGATTTGCGTAGTGTATGTCCTATCCATTTCCATCGTCTTTTCCTAATTTCCTCTTCAGCTGGACGCTGGTTTGTTCTCTCCCACAAAAGGCTGTTGCTGATGGTATCCGACCTGTAGCTCTTCCCGAGTTACTGCCGGTCCCAAGCCCGGGTAAAAGAGGAGGGTTGGGCATGGGGTTAGCGTCCCCATCCCGTAGAAAACTAACTCGCTAAAAAACGCTTACCAGAAAAAATAATCCAAACCATTTAAACTCTGACCTGAAAGTTAGAAGGTCTTCACTTAGAAGAATTATGACGCTTCATGATGAAAGCCGAGTTTCTTCGGAAGCCACGAGGCCGATGCCCCTCCTAACAACCAGAGCAAAAATTTTTATAGGTACATGGAACGTCCGAACAATGTGGGAGACCGGGAAGACCATTCAAATAGCAACGGAAATGAGGAGATACAACTTGGCAGTACTGGTAATCAGCGAAACCCATTGGACCCAAGCTGGACAACAAAGGCTAAATAGGGGAGAGATACTACTGTACTCCGGTCATGAAGAGGAAAATGCTCCACACACTCAGGTAGTTGCTCTAATGCTGTCCAAAAACAACGTATAACTGGCTCTAAATCTGTATGTTTAATTACAGATTGAAAAGTACAAATCTCTTAAGCATAATGTCTTGTATGAGTGTTAACTTCTACACAAATTCAAACTTTAATGTACGATTGACTATATATCCATCGATAATATGTTACTTAAATGTCAAAAATAAGATTTTAATTTGAACTAAATAATTTGGTATTACCAAATTTCACTGTTATGACAGGGTGTTTTACAAAACTATGAATTAGATTATATCGCTAAGTTACAGCAAGTTTTCGAAAATAAGCACAACAAAAAAAATATATTTCTTCAACTGTAAATGAATAATAGTTCAAATATGTCGCTTATTTTCTTCTTTTTTTCAAGTGATTATTCAGATCACATTTGATAGGTTTTTTTCAGTAATTACGCTAATGAAACAATGATTTTTAGTGGGGCCCTTTATTTCGTCGTCATTTAGATTGGACGATGTTGTCGATGGGCTCTTCACTTTAGTGGCCCGGGATCTGACTCCAGTTTGATTGTATGAATGTTTGTTATCGCCTATCCTCGTATATAATCATCGACTTAAATAGCGTTAGTCAATAACGGAATTAAATAAGTCAAATAACGAGAATGAACTTATGAATACATATATTTTGTATCTGAAGCGAATAGAATAGAGCGGAGCGAAACGAAGAGCAGTGGAGATGGCGAGTAAGCCAACTCCATTTAGTCAAGCGTTAATCAATATTTAGTCACACAAAAATAAGTTACAGACATGTGATGAATAGGATAATAAATGTACACACATATATGCGCTCATATAAAAACAGTCGAGATCGGTAAGAGGATACTTAACATGGTCAAAATACGACTCAAGTAGAATGATAGATTGGCCTATCCGAAAGCGAGAATAAGATATATGGGCTTAACATGTCAACCGACACTACAGATTATTCAAAGTATCTATAATCAATATTAAAGTGTTTGTAGTATGTAAGAGTTTTTTTTTTAAATAGAATAAAATTAGTTGATGTGAAACTGTTCACCTTATACATTTTTTTTCTTTTGTAATATCATTGCAAGAAAATAAAAACACTATTATAATTTAAATAATAACTTCAGAGATAATAATAAATAAACTGACCTGATTTTTCTGTTTCTCTAATTCTAGTTCATGACACAGACGTTTTAACTCCATATGTACAGTATCATTTTCTACTTGTCTGTGGTAATCAAGAAAAAACAAGTTGGATCATTGGTACTATTATGGTGCATGCTACTTATGCTGAGACATAAGTAGTATGTAACACAATCAGAAGTGGGCTGCATGGCAGCAGAATGTCGAGAAGATCGAATCGAAGACAAAAGGAATGTAAACACAGAATAATTACAGTAACAACACCCGACCGTTGTTGCTACCTTGACGTGGTGGTCGGGCTTGCCTATCGTGATGAAGCAACCGAGCTATACTGGCTGGAACAACCGTTCCTCAAGGTCCTACCATGTCAGACAGGTCGGTTGAAGAGCGGTAAGACTAAAAGCAACAAACCCAAGGTCCGAAGGCGAAGTCGTACTGCTGACTGTACAGAGGTGTGACAGCAGTAAGGTGTTTCCTTCAGACAACCAGCATGACAGCGATGCTGCCTTCCCACAAGGAGGGGTGGGGTTAGAAAAGGTCGACCCTAAAAATGCACACCTCGCCTTATCCCACGGATATCCGTCTCCGGCGGTAAGGTCTCAATAAGTACGGAGCTAACACAAAAATTACCCATAACAAGGTCGTGTGTGACCGACCTCAAGCAGTTGTCCCTTGGGCACTGCGGTCACGCTCTCAGTTCACTAAGACCACCTTTAATCCAATTTCCTTTTCAGGTACCTCCAGAACAACCCTTCCACGGTGTGGGCAACCGGGAAGTGATAACCGCCCTCATACTTCTAACAGCACTCAAGTCCACTGTATTCATAATCAACCTCCTTCTTCAATTCCTATTATTCCTCCTACATCGACTTTCAACTCTGTATTTCCTCTCTCGGCTTCCACCTCAAGTGTCACCGTAGCCAACGATTCTAGTGCGCAAAACACTGTCCCAGGTCTACTGAAACCTCGCTCCAAACTACACATTGGAGCCTTCAACGTACGCACCCTATGTCAAATCGGTCAGCAGGCTTCCTTGGCTAAAACCCTAGAGTCTCTTTCCATTGATGTATGCTGTGTCTCCGAAACACGCATACAGGATTCCAGTGTGGTCATTCACTTGACCTCACCTCGGCAAGACGGAGAGCCAACGAGATACACCCTTCGTGTGTCCGGTGACCCGATGGCAAGTTCTCGTGGACTGGCAGGTGTAGGCATAGCACTAAGCATAAGGGCCGAACAAGCACTGCTAGAGTGGATCCCCGTCAACAGTCGTCTATGTGCTGTTCGGCTGAACGGCTACGTAAGAACTCGGAAGGATAGGGACACACGTCGTTGCCTTTTTGTCGTTTCTGCCTACGCTCCCACTGACTGCAGCTCAGATGAAGTGAAAGATGAATTTTACAGAAAGCTATCCGAACTTCTTCAGAAAGCTAAACGCTCAGACATAGTACTCGTAGCAGGTGATTTTAATGCTCAGATAGGCAGTTTAAACCAAACAGAAAGGCATTTAGGTGGATATTTTAGTATTCCGACACAGCGAACAGATAATGGTGATCGTCTGCTGCAGCTATGCTCAGACAATCGTTTATTTTTAGCAAACACAAATTTTAAGCATAAGGAGAGACATCGTCTAACATGGCGACCCCCTACACCAAACCAACGATGGACTCAAATAGACCATATTGCCATCAGTCATCGTTGGAGAGGGTCGGTAGAAGATTGTCGTTCATTCTGGAGCACCTGCTTGGACTCCGACCATGCCCTAATACGGGCACGCATCTGCTTGCGCCTCAATGGACGCAAAAAAGCCACATTAAAAAGACCCATTAGAACTGAGTTGAGTAACGAGAAAACCAAAAGTAGGTTCCAGGAACAACTGAGGTCACACTTAGTTAGTTGTGAAGACGAGGCTGACCCAGATGTTGCTTGGAAGGACATACAAGCAGCTGTGGAAACAGCAGTGACATCTGTTAGTGACTTAAACCACAGAGTTACAAGGAACCAGTGGATTTCTTCAAGGTCTGTCACACTGATGGATTCTCGCAAACTCGTCCCATCAGGTTCTGAACATGATGAAGAGCGTAAACAAATCAGATCTAGGTTAAGAAAAAGTCTAAGGAACGACCGTGAGCAGTGGTGGGTAACGAAAGCAAAAGAGATGGAAAAGGCGGCGACTATAGGGAACACAAGACAGCTTTACAGACTAATAAAAGAAACTGGAACTAATAAGTCAAGTGTAAGTGAGATTATTTCGGAAAAAGATGATACTCTCATCTGCTCCCAGTCCAGACGTTTAGAACGATGGGCGGAACATTTTAGAGAACAGTTCAGCTGGCCTTCAGCTACTCTACAACTACCCTCCATTCCCAGACAAAGTGAATGGAACATTGAAGTAGGTCCCCCAACTCTTGCTGAAGTTGAGAAGGCTATAGTTAATCTGAAACGAGGAAGGGCAGCTGGTCCAGATGGACTGGCTCCAGAAGTCTTTAAGGATGGTGGTCCAATTTTAGCGACTAGGTTGACTAATATTTTAGCTAAAATCTGGGAGTTAGACGTTATCCCATCTGACTGGTCGCAATCACTTATCGTCCCAATATATAAGAAAGGGTCAAAATCATCCTGTGACAACCACAGAGGGATTAGTTTAACAAACATAGTATCTAAAATACTGGCCTCGATAATTATCAAACGCCTAACTAAGACTCGTGAACTACAAACACGAGAGAACCAAGCTGGCTTTAGACCTGGTCGTGGCTGCATCGACCACATATTCACCATTCGTCAGGTTCTAGAACACAGGCATACCTATCGGCGTCCGACGATGGTGGTCTTTCTTGACTTAAAAGCAGCATTTGACTCTGTAGACCGCGAGACTCTGTGGCAGTGTCTGTCATTGAAAGGCGTACCTCAGAAGTACATAAACCTTGTGAAGGCTCTTTACTCGAACACTACTAGTCGAGTCAGGGCTTATGGCGAACTGTCATCTACCTTTACAACCTCAAGTGGTGTCCGTCAAGGCTGCCCACTTTCTCCATTTTTGTTTAACTTCATCATAGACCTATTGATGGAAATAACACTCTCGTCGACTGAATTCTCGGGTATTGATCTCCTTCCAGGAGGTCCACTTATCGACTTAGAATATGCAGATGACATAGTCCTGTTTGGTGAAGACGCTGACAAAATGCAGAGTCTTCTGGTAGCACTAAGCAACAATGCCAGAATGTTTGGGATGCGCTTCTCTCCCTCTAAATGCAAGTTGTTGCTTCAGGACTGGTCTGCGTCAACACCTGAACTAAGGATAGGGAGTGAAGTAGTCGAACGTGTTGACAACTTCACTTATCTTGGAAGTCTGATCAGCCCTAATGGGTTGGTGTCTGACGAAATCTCAGCACGGATTCGTAAAGCTCGTTTGGCTTTTGCCAACTTACGTCACCTTTGGCGGAGGCGAGATATCCGTCTATCAATAAAAGGACGAGTATACTGCGCGGCTGTCCGTTCTGTTTTAATTTACGGCAGCGAAACATGGCCCTTAAGAGTAGAAGACACCCGTAAGCTACTAGTATTTGACCACAGATGCCTTAGAAATATTGCTGGCATCTGCTGGGATCACCGGGTAAGTAATAGTGAGGTTAGACGCAGGGTATTAGGGAATGATGGTAAATCAGTTGATGAGGTTATGAATCTTCATCGACTGAGATGGTTGGGCCACGTATTACGTATGCCTGAACACCGATTACCGCGACGTGCAATGCTAACCGGTGTAGGGGATGGTTGGAAGAAAGTTAGGGGCGGCCAAACCAAAACGTGGCATCAGTGCCTGAAGTCACTAACTTCTAGTCTGAGCCATGTTGGTAGATGCAGACTACTTGGTTGGGGTCCGCGTGACTTTCGTAACCAATGGTTGGAGACCCTTGGTGACATGGCTCAGAATCGATCACAATGGCGTCGGTGTATACACTCTCTGTCTTCTCTTAAACTAAGAGATTAAGATCACTTCACATCTTTCTTTCTACGAACTAATTCTTTCTTCCTATACTATATCCTTATTGCAATCTTTCTCCTATATATTACCACCTTTGACCTAACCACTCCTATGAATCCAGTGTTCATCTTGCTGTGCTAATGAGGTATGGCAACCTGGGCCGATGCATACATGTGCCTGGTCCTACGTTGTAGCTGACTGACTGACTGACTGACAGTAACAACATGAATGAAGGAACGATGAAGTTTGTAAGAAAAAATTGACGGAATATGTGAACATGAAGTATATAATGTATGCAAATATGGATAGTGGTTAGCAGTGGAACGCAGGGCGCGCGTTTTGTCCCATATGGGGTTCGTCAGCTGAATGTACCTGCATCTCAGAGTTGATGTTCACTCTGGGACTCGAACCCAGTACAGTTCGCTTCAAACACCATCGCGTTGTCCACTTAGCTACTGATTCCTTATAACTACTTCTTTGTGCAATGGGGTAAAGTTTAACTTCACTTTGTATTGTTTATTTGAATCTTCTCATTGATGTTTAGAACTGCAATTGATCAGTCTCTTATTGGCACATGTGCATACTGTGAATTAATGCAATGTCGAGACATTGCCAATACGAGACTGATCAATTGCAGTCCTAAACATCAATGAGAAGATTCAAGTAAACAATACCCAATGTATTTAATGTATGGTTTTCATAATTTACGAAGACACTGTAATTTTGCATTAAACAATTAATTGGTCTTCCCCACTTGACCTATTCGTTCAATACACCATATTGAATGAGGGCTGCTAGTGCTAGCGGTATCATTGGTTTAACATGGGCACAACTTCATAGAAGTCTATATCCAGATTGGCGATTTTGTCCTAGATGTTTGATGGGCCATAGAGCTCGCATTCTCTCTTTTGAGATGTTAGGTGGGAGGCATTTTTGTCTTGTCAAAATGTGAGGTGTTTTTCGAAGTATGAGATGACACTTTTTCTGGTAATTGTTCGAGGAAATGTTCCAGAATTGGGGCAGTTCTAGTGTGTTAAGTGGTTTTCAGTGTAAATTGAAGTTTAATCCTTTTCCTGAGAGAGTGATTTCGTGTTTATTTAGAGCTGTGAATGAGATATTATGAACCATCCTTAAGGCAGCAGAATCAATACTGGTAGTCACTTTTTTCTTTTATTCTCTCATTAGCTTCTTTTTATAATTCTTGATTTGCCTGGATTTTGAAGAATTTAAACAGCGGATTACGTTTTCATTAAAAAGGTTGAGACTTGAAATCACTCTCATACTACAATCACCAGATTTTCCGTCTACATCCCCACACAATCGTATACAGTTAGGTCTCATACAAAAAAATAATCTTGACCGAAACGACGTGATAATGTTAACATAATCAGACTGATTTTAATTTGGATTGTACTAAAATATTCTGCTTTGTGTCTTTTGTACTATTTAGACGTGTAAACTTGATTTATTTATTTTTATTCTAAGAAGAAGTGGTGTACAACGAGTCAAGAAATGTTAGAAATCTGACCTTTACTTATTGGGGCCTTACATACATCATTTTTAATATTAGATAATACTTGTTGTAAAGATTCATAAATGTGACTTTTTATTGAAATTCTTTATCTTGTCTAGTTATTAAAGCAAAACAAACTATGAAGGTGATCTAAACAACCAAAGTATACGAAAGTGATAGTTACGACTTTATCGAAGCATGTAGTTTGTGTAAAGGAAATGAACGAAATAGTGACAAACGACATTAATAACCAATGACAGCTGGAAAGTAACTTACTCTGCTTGTCGTTTAATACGTAATTCTTCCAGAGCTGTTTCTTTTTCTGAATGTAATTTATGATTTTCAGCCCGGAAAACCTTTATATAGGCATTGAGGGAATGAAAATCAGTTTGCATTTTAAGAATAACGTTAGTGTGAAGAACAAAATACAAGAATATAATTTTTGTTTAAATAAAGCAGATATACGTAAGCTTTAAGGCTTACATCGTATATGTTTTCGAAGCACTGCTTGAGTATTGTGGAACGGTCGAGTAAGCAACGTTGAGGTCAGGCATAGGGTATTAGGCAAAAACAGTGAATTGGTTGGTGATGTAGTAAATGTTGATCAACTGAGAGAAAGCCAAACCAAAATGCAATACAGTCCATGAAGTTATTGGTTATTTTTCTGGGCAAGGACATGTAGACTATCTGATTGAGGTTCAAGGGATAACAGCGATTAGTGGCAGGAGAGGTTGAATGAAATGGCTCAGAATCGATCATAATGGCATAAATATATTTACTCCAAGTCTTGGATCCCAACATTCCTTCAAATATATCTTTTCATTCTACCTTCTTGGTTCATAATCTTAATGTTCAGTGTATTCTGATTTTTTAAAAATCAAAATCCATCTCGTTATGCTAGTATGGAAAACAAGACAGTTACCATATGAATACAATTATTTTCAATGTTGCATAAATCAATCTAAAATTACCTGTAAATCTTGTTGTTGCCTCATATTTGTTTGGCGCAATTGGGTTAATTCTGAATCCAATTGCTCAATACGCGATTTTAATAAACAGTTATCATTGGACATTGCCTTTGAAATTCAGAGAATTATGTGAAAATATATAATTACTTTTAAAAGATAAATTTGATATGATTTTTCAACTTTAAAGAAATTTTATTCACTTTTATTTTATAAGTAAACCGATTATTTAGCTTCGAAAAAACAAATACAATAAATAAATTCACTTGGTGTTGTTTTACTTGTATCTTCCAATTGTTATTTAGGAATGCAATTGATCAGTCTCATGTTGGCATATGTGCATCCTGTGCGGATTGCCTCGATATAGCCTTAAGTCACAAGCTTTCGAGTCCCGGAGTGAACATCAACTCCAGGATGCAGGTACATCCAGCTGACGAGTCCCAAGTAGGACGAAAGGCGTGTCCTGGATTCCACTGCTAGCCACTATTCATCTTTGCTTAAAAATACAATAAATGTTTTCTTTCTCAACTTGTTTTACTTATTATTGTCATTTGTAAAAATTTGTAACTTCATACACAAAGAAACTATATCGACATGACGACATAAAAAAGTGAGATCACATTTTTTTCCTTAATTCAGTATGATTGTTGCTGAATATTATTTTCCTTTATTAATTCAATACGATGGCTGCTCGGAATAATATTCATTTTATTTTCATTGTGGTGTTTATTTGTATTAAAATAACATGAATTAAGTTCGGTATCACATGGAGTATGCGATTTTGTTAGAGTTCTGAACATCTTTCATATATATAACTTTTTTTGAATTCATAATCACGTAATGGGTGTATAAATCGTTATATAAATGAGTGCATTTCCGACTAGTCTCGTCGTGATTTTGGAGTGAAATCTTCACTTGTACCAATCTTTTGTGTTCCTACTTCGCGTCGGTTTCTCTTTTTCAAGTATAAGTCATAGGGTGACATGGATATGCTACATACGATAAAGGTTTATGAGGAAATTTAACAAATGTTTGGGTGATAAAATACTTTCTGTCAACTTAAGCTTTATTTTAATTGCTATTTGTTTATTGGATTCATATTTTTCATTGTTTTCAATCAGGCAGATGAATGTTATGGTATTCAAAGACTAAATAATCATTATTAACATGTGTAATACAACAAAGAGGCATACATCTAAGTTACTGAGTTGAGTAAGTTAAGCAACTAGAAACTGCATAATTCCGCGCTTAAAAATAATTACCAAGATGTTTCATCTACTTTAGCAGGAGTGAATAAAACAATGTAGGCAGTAACTAAGTGACGAAATTATTTTCAATAACGATTTTAAGATGAGTGTGAATTTTTTAAAGACATGAAGCGATCGCCATCATGAATTACTATTAAAAAGAACGTTTTCTAAAAGTTTCAAAGCCGCGTACTTTCTAAAAAGATGAATTTCTTTTGATATGATTTCGTAGTTTGAAATCAGAGAAAACTTTTGGTCGATTAAGAAAAGTAGATAACCGATAATCCTTAATATGAATTGTGATTTTTTTCTAGCCTACGGTGCTATAATATTTCCTAACAACAATTTTTAGTAGATGAAGTACTATATTTCCTGAAGCACTGTCGGAACTACTGACAACTCCAACTAAAAAATGTACAAGTAAATATATATACAGATCACGTTACTAGAACGTTATTTGGAGTTTTTGTGATCATGAATCACTCCAAACTTGAATAGTCGAATTAAGTACACTTTACGAGAAAACAACTGTGAATAAGTGAATAAGTGAATATCCTGCAGAAGACATTAATTATGCACATACATCAACATTCCTAAAAGAAAGCTGTTACTCAGTGTTGCTGGTATATATATATATATATATATATATATATATATATATATATATATATATATATATATTTATCAAGCATAATTGATGTCCATATTTAAATGTAATATTTACCGTAGATTTTGAATGAAGATTTGTACTAAAATCGGTATAAACTCCCTAAAGTCTATTAAAATTCTATGATTTATATGAACCGATAAAAATCGAAGTACAAATGAATACATATTTATATATGGTAGAAAATTATATTTTTAGTAAATGTTACAAGGATTAGGAAAGAATAGCCTTACTTGCGCTAATTCCTGAGCACGAATAATTTCTGGTATAGGACCAGTAGGAATCGATGGAGTAGAAGCAGCCATTGCCTTAGCCATTGCAGTCAACTGAGTTTCGTGTTTTGTTAACTGTTCTCGCAAATTACACAATTCCAATTCAGCTTCCTTCTTTACCTTTAAAGTATCTGCATTTGTCTGGTCTAAAAGTTTTTGCAGATCACAGTTTTCAGTTTCAGTATTCTAGAAAAAAATTGTATTTAAAAGCAGCGACTGAGAATTGTGAAAATAATTGTCGAAAACGGGTATCCATTGTTATTATATTATATATATTATCGATTAAAAATTTATAACTCATATGAAATGAAGTTGATAAGAACAGCTAAACCCTAAATTAGAAGCTAAATCTCAAGAACTAACTGATCTAAAAAATTTTAATTTTTATCCTAGTATTTGTCAAGCTATACAATAAAGTGATATAGATGATTATAGTTCCTATTGTATTTCGAAGCTGAGGTTAGTCATTGATCAAGACTTTCTCCAAAAAAATTGGTAGTTGAAGTTTTGTTGAATGTTGGAATAATACTTTGCTTTGAGGTTGTCTTTCACATGAGTCAGTACTAAAATACAGGGTACCAGCAAAGAAATGCTTGGACAACGGAGCTTACATTGGGTGAAACAGAGAAGTAATGGATTTACCCAAGATAGTCGATAAAAAAACTAATCAACTCGGAAATTTTCGTAAATAAAGAAGACAATGTAAAAGTTTCTGGATATTCATGGAGTTGGTGAATCTTAACTTTATATTGGTGCTATTTATCTGATGGTTGACATGAACGTTAGAAATTGTAAGATATTTACCAGTGTTCATATTTTGTTTTGTTAACGATTAGGTAGGGAATTCAATGCCTAAGAGACAAAGACCTGTTTGCAAAAACTTATCTACGACAGCTGGCAAATAAACGAACAGCAGATTATTGCTTGTTGAATAAGACCAAAATTATATGTACTTAAAGCAGTCAAAGCTTAGAATATTGAGCCCAGCAAAACGAGAATAACTATGAAGCTGTCTTGCCTAATCATCTAAAATATTAACAAGAAGTATGTAGTATATCTTCATGATTGCCCTAAAATAACACTAATATACTGAAACAGTTTTTATCCCCTTGGATGCATTAAAGTACTTACTTTTAACTTCACATTCAGCAAGTTCTTCTGGTGTTCGAGTGTTTTATTCGTTCTTAGGAGTTCATTATATTGCATTTGCAGTACATGTAAACTTAGAGAAGATTCGTCTTTCTTCGTACGAAAATGCTTGTTTTCTTCAACTAAAGAATTCGCCCACTGGGAGGTTTCTGCCAGCTTGGTTTCACTGATCTGTTGGTTAAATAAAAATATCTCTTCTTCACAAAATGTAATCACATACATAACTGAGCAAAAAAATAGATACTTTATTTTTGGACGTTAACTCTCAAATGAGATAAAAAATGATGTATGCTACAATTGATTCAAGCTTGAAATATAAGTACTTTGATAACAACCTATACTTAATAGTCAATCCAAGATCCATCGAAAAAACGATAATAGGAAGGAGAGAAGTAGTTTTACTGTCTCTGTGACTGCTTGAATGGAACAATGGAGAGAGGTGGTTGTATATCCTTACTCTGCCTAAGATGTTTGTACATAGGGTATTTAATATGTTATTAAACTTTTCACATCCTTCTTCAATAGACAATCCCAGAGAACGGTTCTGTCGAAGGCAGCCCTAATGTCAAGAAACACTGCGAATGTTGGCCGGTGATAAGTATGATGCTGTTCTAACATCCGGCGGAGGGTGAAGATATGATCAATGCATCCTCAAGGCAGTCTTTTTCGGGTTTTGAACCTACGAACTACGACAGAAGCTAATAGCTTGGACGCAATCGGAAGTAGACTTATATCCCGATAGTTGTTACAGAAACGACTTACTTACTTACTTACGCCTGTTACTCCTCGTGAAGGAGCATAGGCCACTCACCAGCATTCTCCATCCAACCCTGTCCTGGGCAATCCTTTCTAGCTCCGTCCAGTTGTAATTCATCCTTTTCATATCTGCTTCTATAATCCGACGCAATGTGTTCTTTGGCCTTCCTCTTTTTCGCCTCCCTTCAGGGTTCCAAGTTAGGGCTTGCCTCGTGATGCAGTTTGACGGTTTGCGTAATGTATGTCCTATCCATTTCCATCGTCTTTTCCTAATTTCTTCTTCAGCTGGAAGTTGGTTTGTTCTCTCCCACAGAAGGCTATTGCTGATGGTATCCGGCCAATGGATGTTGAGTATCTTGCGTAGACAGCTATTTATAAATACTTGTACTTTCTTGATTGTGGTTGTTGTAGTTCTCCAAGTTTCAGCTCCATACAGTAGAACTGCCTTGACGTTCGTATTGAAGATTCTCACTTTGATATTGGTTGAAAGTTGTTTTGAGTTCCATATGTTCTTCAATTGTAGGAATGCGACCCTTGCTTTGCCGATCCTCGCCTTTACGTCTGCATCTGAACCTCCTTGTTCATCGATGATGCTTCCTAGGTATGTGAAGGACTCTACATCTTCCAGAGTTTCGCCATCAAGAGTGATTGGATTGCTGTTCTGCGTGTTGAATTTGAGGACCTTGGTTTTCCCTTTGTGTATGCTGAGGCCTACTGATGCAGAGACTGCTGCTACACTGGCTGTCTTCATCTGCATCTGTTCGTGTGTACGTGATAGGAGGGCTAGGTCGTCTGCGAAGTCCAAATCGTCTAATTGATTCTGAGTTGTCCATTGTATTCCGTGTTTTCCTTCAGATGTCGAGGTCTTCATAATCCAGTCGACCACCAGAAGAAAGAGGAAGGGAGAGAGTAAACAGCCTTGTCTGACTCCAGTCCTTACTTGGAATGCATCTGTCAGCTGTCCTCCATGCACTACTTTGCACTGTAGTCCGTCGTATGAGTTCCGGATAATGTTGACAATCTTCTCAGGAACTCCGTAGTGTCGAAGAAGTTTCCATAATGTCCTCCTATCTACACTGTCGAATGCCTTTTCATAATCAATGAAGTTGATGTATAGTGATGAGTTCCACTCCACTGATTGTTCGACGATGATCCGTAGTGTTGCAATTTGGTCTGTGCACGACCGATCCTTACGGAATCCAGCTTGTTGATCTCGAAGTTGGGCGTCTACTGCATCCTTCATCCGGTTCAGCAACACTCTGTTGAAGACTTTCCCTGGTATTGACAGTAGTGTAATGCCTCTGTAGTTTTCACATTTGCTCAGATCTCCTTTCTTTGGAATCTTGACGAGGTGTCCTTCTTTCCAGTCCATCGGCACTTGTTCCTCCTCCCAAATCTTTTTGAATAGAAGGTACAGCATGCTTGTGGTTGCTTCGATGTCTGATTTCAGTGCTTCAGCTGGTATGTTGTCGGGTCCTGCTGCTTTCCCGTTCTTGATTTGTCTGACGGCCATTCTAATTTCTTCCGTCGTTGGTGGGTTGACATCTATAGGAAGATCTATGTGTGCTGCTTCGATGTCCGGTGGATTCATTGGAGCCGGCCTATTCAGGAGTTCCTCGAAGTATTCCACCCATCTGTTACGCTGATGTTGAATTTCGGTGATTGGCTTGCCTTCTTTGTCTTTGACCGGCCTCTCTGGTTTACTGTATTTCCCTGCTAGTTTCTTCGTTGTATCGTAAAGCTGTTTCATATTTCCTTCTCTAGCAGCTTTTTCTGCCGTCGTTGCTAGTTCTTCCACGTATTTCTTCTTGTCGGCTCTAATGCACCTCTTCACTTGTTTGTTTGCTTCTATGTATTCAGCTTGTGCTTGGACTTTCTCTGCTCGTGTTCGGCTGTTGTTAATTGCTGCCTTCTTGTTCTTCCTTTCTTTGATCTTGTCCAGTGTTTCTATAGAGATCCATTCCTTATGATGGTGTTTCTTTAGGCCCAGAACCTCTTGACACGTTGAAGTTAATGCTTCCTTGATGCCTTTCCAGTTGTCCTCCATACTAGTTTCTTCTTCTTTCAGTAGATCTTGTAAGGCTTGGAACCTGTTGTTGAGAGCTATCTTGAATTCATTGAGTTTGTCAGTATCTCGAAGGAAGGCTGTATTGAACCTTTGTAGTGCTGTTTGTCCACTTGTCCAGTTCTTTTTTAGCTTCAGTTTTAAATTGGCTACAACTAGGTGGTGATCTGAAGCTACGTCAGCACCTCTCCTGGTTCTCACATCTTCCATTGTCCTTCGGAATTTTTTGTTGATGCAAATATGATCTATTTGGTTCTCTGTAGTGTGGTCCGGTGAGATCCATGTAGCCTTGTGTATACGCTTGTGTGGAAATATTGTGCCTCCTATGACCAATTTGTTGAATGCACATAGATTTGCAAATCTTTCTCCATTTTCGTTTCTTTCTCCCAGTCCATGTCGTCCCATAATATCTTCATATCCAGTGTTGTCTATTCCGACTTTGGCATTTAGATCTCCCATCAGAATAGTTAGGTCCTTTCTTGGCATTTCTCAATGATTGACTGTAGCCGCTCGTAGAACTGATCTTTAATGTCGTCGTTGCTATCATTGGTGGGTGCATAACATTGGATAATATTCATTAAGATCCCCTCCTTCTTTGTTTTGAATGATGCTTTGATGATTCTGGATCCGTGAGACTCCCATCCTACAAGTGCATTTCGTGCTACTTTGGACAGCATAAGAGCGACTCCCTGAGTGTGTGGAGCATTGTCCTCCTCGTGACCGGAGTATAGCAGCATCTCTCCCGTAGCTAGCCTTTTCTGTCCAGCTTGGGTCCAGTGGGTTTCGCTGATTCCCAGTACTGCTAAGTTGTATCTCCTCATTTCCATTGCTATTTGACTGGTCTTCCCGGTTTCCCACATTGTTCGAACGTTCCATGTACCTATAAAAATTTTTGCTCTGGTTGTTAGAAGGGGCATCGGCCTCGTGGCTTCCGAAGGAACTCGGCTTTCACCATGAAGCGTCATAATTCTTCTAACTGAAGACCTTCTAACTCCCAGGGCAGAGTTTAAATGGTTTGAATAATTTTTTCTGGTAAGCGTTTTTTTAGCGAGTTAGTTTTCTACGGGATGGGGACGCTAACCCCATGCCCAACCCTCCTCCTTTACCCGGGCTTGGGACCGGCAGTAACCCTATTAGAGCTACAGGCGGAGTTTACAGAAACGACGTGAACCCTTTTTTAAAGATAGGGACAACTGTCGACTCATTCCATGGTGTTGGGACACTCTCTAACTACCGAACCATTGTAAACAACTCAGTCAGTTCCTGAACCAGAAAGTCACCACCATCCTTAAAAAGTGCAGGAGGTAAGTTGTCCGGCCTTGGTGATTTGTAGCGCTCCAAGGGTTGGAGTTCCTTGCGGACTTCCACCTCGTTCGGTGGGTCAGCCGTCACAGGCCATGGAGGGTAAGACGGTCTAATTGATGTTGCCAGGACAGTAGAACAGTTGAACTGCCTTTCAAAAAAACTCTTTTCATCGTCTAAGACGTCGACAGATGTTAGTGGTTGGTATCGCGTCATCTTCACAGATTGTTTCGCTCACATCAGACTTCTTGCTGCCAGTGGCTCGGATGAGTAGAGAGAACTTCCAGCAGTCACTAGATGCAGTTGCTACTTTCAATTCATTGGCACACTCCGACCACCAGGCTTCTCGATCCTTACGCAAGCTTTGCCCAAATTCACTACTGAGCATCCTTCGTTTGTGATCAAACTCGTGGTCACCTGGAGTAGACTGACTGACTTCAATGAGTTGTAAGGAGCCTGAAGAAACCCAGTGTTTATAAGCGGAGCGTTTCGCGAAGCCGCAAGCGACTTTACTCGACTTTTTCATGGCGTGATGCAATTGAAACCGATACTTATGTATGCTTTCGGTGGTGTTAGCTAGCCTTGAACCTACCTCGATTTGATATTTAGTTGCAACTGGAGCTGCAACTAATTTGCTGACATTGATCCGTTTAGGACGATGAATTTATTGACCACTAAAAAGTAAGGTAAGATCAGCGCAAACAAGAGCATGATCAGAGTTCAGATAGGTACTCCAAAAGGAGCAGGAGTTTTGCACACAACCACGCCAGCGGTAGTTGATCGCGATGTGATCAATCTGAGTTCAGGTTCAGGACGCAGAGGGAGGGCGCCAAGTGGCACATCAACGATGACTGTGCCGAAAGTTAGTGCTAGCCAGAAATAGGTTGTGGTCTGTGCATAGTTGCAGTAAACGGTCCTCGTTATCTGACCTGCGACCAACAAGTCCCTATCAACCACCTAAACAACAGAGTTGCCCAATCTCAGCATTCCTGTTCAACTTTGCTATCGATGACGTTCTGGAAACAGCTCTAATGGATGTAAGTAATGGCGGTGTGAATTTGTTGCTTGGAGAAAGAATTTTCGACCTTGATTATGCGGATGATATTCTTACTGTGCGATAATACCCAAGCCATTCAATCCGTACTTAATGAGTTGGCAATTAGTGTACGTAGGTATTGTATGTGCTTTGCACCTTACAAGTGCATAATACTTTTACAAGACTGGCAGAACCCTGATCCTGCACTCACCCTGGGTAGTGAGCAAATAAAAGTATTCGAGAAGTTCGTGTCTGGGTAGCTGCGTAAGTTCTGGTGGGGGTGCGAGTGATGAGATCAATGCACGTATAGTGAAAGCCAGAGCGGCTTATACCAATCTGGGCCATCTTTGGAGCCTTTGTGATGTTAGTCTGGCTGTAAAGGGTCAGATCTATAACACGTCGGTGAAAGCAGTTTTGCTCTATGCTTGTGAGACCTGGCCTCTCCGAGTTGGGGATGTTAGATGACTCTCGTTGTCTGATCATCGTTGTCTCCGAAAGATTGTTTACACGGTCATTTAGAAACTTAGGATCTAAGGTAACAAAACAAATAAATACACGTGCACTAGTGCGAACGATTTTGAGCCATGTTATCCATATTCTCCAAGTAATAGTTAAGACAACCACGCAAACCTCAACCAGGTAGTCTGCACCTACTAAGATGGCTTTATTCCAACAGTGTCCACACAGACCAATGTAATGTCTTAGTTTGGTCATCCATAACTTTTTTCCCACCTACTCTTACACTAGATATCATTACCCGTCGAGATAATAGGTAGATGAACACACGTAATGCACATCCTAACTGTGTCGATCGATAAAAATTTACCAACTCATCAATTGATTTGCCAACCTTGGCTGGTACTCTAAGTCACGTCAGATCTGAGCCAAAACATACGAGAAGTGCTTCCAATACACCTACGACCGAATACTAGTAACCTATGAATATTCCCTATCATCAAAGATCAAGTTTCACAGCGATAAAATAGAACGAAGGGGGATGATGTGCAGTGTACTATTACTTTAGTTAAGAGATGAATATCTCGCCTACCCCACAAGTTACGCAAGTTGGCAAAAGCCAGTCGAGCTTTCTGAATTTGCGCCAAGATTTTGCCAGAAACCAACCAATTGGGGTTGGTTAGACCTCCAGGATAAATGAAGTCATCAATACGCCCAACCACTTCACTCTCTATCGTCAGTTTAGGGATGATGCAGACCAATTCTGAAGCATCATTTTGCATTTAGATGGAAAGAATCGCATTTCAAACACACTTGCATTGTTCCTTAAGACGATCAAAATACTCAGCATTTTGTTAGCGTCTTCATCAAACAGGACTATATCATCTGAGTATTCCAAGTCAATAAATGAATCTGTCGGTAGATCGGATCCTGATAAATCAGACGATGAGAGCGTTATCTTTAAAAGAAAGTCTACAATGTCAATTAAAAATGAGGGGAAGTGAACAACTATGACGTAAATCATCTAAAGTTATCGACTCTGATGACAGTTCACCATAAGCTTTGCCTTAACCTAGAGTGTCCGAATAGAGGGCCTGTACAAGGTTGGTACATCTTTTAATGACACACGATGTCATAGAACCTGTCAATCTACGGATTCAGATGCTGACATAAGGACGAGAAGAATACCTGCAGTTGGAGGTCGGTAGGTAAGTGTTTTAAAACCTGATTAAGAGTGAATATTTGGTCTACACATCCTCGTCCAGGTCTGAAACTAGCCTCATTTACTCGAATTCGCTCCTTACGAACTCTCGTCAAGCATTGGATGATTGAGGCTAATATTTTAGACACTATTATTCGGGCTGACTCCTCTGTGGTTATCACAAGAGGATTTTTGTCTTTTATTATAGACTGAAACGGTCAGATATCATGACCAATTATATGGGATTATGCCCAGTCCCTAGACTCTATTTAATATTCCAGTCAATTCAACAGCTAAAACTGAGTTAATATCCCCATATATCTCTGGAGTTAATCCATCACGATTTGCTGGTATCCCTAACTTTAGATGAACTATGACTTTTTCTACTTCATTAGGAGTCGGGAAGGTTCATGTTGACATCCCATTTGGGTTGCTTGGTTAAAGTAGGCAACTGAAGGGTACTCAGAAGACAATTAAACTGCCTGTGAAAATGTTTCGCCCTTGTTTCAGTCTCTTGGGTTGAGGGCGGATGATTGTCCCGTACTTTTCAGAAATAGTTTTAGTAAGTCTCGAGTCTTTAATACCCATTTGTTTTGTAAGTCTGAAAAGCTGTATATCGTTGCCTGTCGCCGCCGCCTTTCGTTTTTTGATGCCCACCACTATTTAAGATTATTGAGAAAACTTTCTGCCACTCTACGTTTAAGCTTCCCTCACTCTTTATCGTATTTTGAGCCCCATAGGATGTTTCAGAGCATCTATCAAGTTAGTAAACGCTTGTAAAACCTGATTTTTCTCAACCTTTTCGTTACAGTCCCTCTTAGATATTAATGATTTTTATAGTTATCCGGATATCATGCCAACCGATATCGGAGTGAACGTCACTTTGACTAGTTGTTTCTCTAGTTGCTCTTTGAATATACTTTCGACTTTTTGTCCTTGAGCTAAACTCTGGGGTCTTTTTTGCTGTAGCTTTCCTGCAAAACACAAACAGATGAATGCTCGCACTAGAGCATAACCAGCGTCTCAAGAAGGGCGCTAGTTTTCAGTCGAACCTCTAACATTGAGTTGGTTGTGGGGGTCACCGTGTCAGGTGTCTATCTTTATGTTCTAAGTTGGTACTCACTAAAAATAGTTATCTGAGCATAATTGGGGGAGACAGTCCTCAATGTATGTTTGTTGAACTAGGACACGTTAGCATAACCTAACTACTTGAGTGCTAAAGTCTGCTGTTACAATAACGACGTCTGAGCGCTTGACTTATAATAGAAGAGAAAGCTTTATGTAAAGCTTGTTCTCTACTTCATTCGAATTGTAGTTAGCGGGAGAGTAGGGAGTGACGACGAGCAGGCAGCGGCATGTTTTTACTCCTCCATTTGACCGGATAGAGTACAAACGACTGTCTATTGTGATCCATCCTACTTTTGAACTAAGTGATATGCCTAAACTGGTGAGGCCACGATAAGCAGTAGTCAAGTCTCCAGGTACATGGAGGGTAAATCGCGCCGGTTCTGTGTATCGACTAGGTGGGGTCAGGCGAATAGCTAAACTTGAATCCTATATTCACGTTTCGCTGCTACCATACACCGACGGGGGGATCCTAAAGTTCTAAATAAGGATCCCTGTTGGTCTATTTGACATATGCTCCGAACATTGAAAGATCCAAAATACGGTTTGGAGCGCGTTTTTAAAGCATCAGGAATGACATTTTGTGAGTTAGAATAGTTAACCATGGTGGTGAATGGAGATAAAGTCATAGGAGGAGGGTTGATAGTGAAGATAAATGGAATATTAAGATGTGATGAACGGATATGATCGTAAAAAAGAGTATCTCCAACGTTGTTAGAGGTTTGAGGACCATTACCACTCCTCGGCTGTTCACAATATGGAAGGATGTTTGTTCTTAAGACCTGGAAAGGAGACTAGATTAGTAGTGGTAGTAGCGACATGGAGAGCGACCTGCCTAAAAGAACAATTGTCCGAGCCAACATGGCCCGATAGGGTCACAACGATCACCACGTCGAGGTAGCAGAATTTACATATATATGATAAACAACAGTCCCGTACACCCGTACTTTCTGTAACTGACTAAAATATGATATGGACCATACATATCTTTTTTTAGAGAGGATAGCTAATATGGCAAAGAGGTTGCAATCGTCCCCTAACTCTCAGGAATACCAACTCATCAGTTCATATGAAGTAAGGAATTATCAGACACTACATCCTGCAAATAGTTGGTGATTACGTCGGGTACAAATTCTAATTTATCCTAACATCATTGAATTCATTTTTTCATACCTAGTTGGAATAAGGGTTGAGAAACTCCCTAAAAGGGTCTTTCAAAATCGACAGTTTGATTCAAACATTAGATATGTGTTTAAATTAACTTTTTAGAAATATTTTGGAACAAAGCTACTAAATGGCGATAGCACAGTAATCATAACGACTTAGCTAATACAAAAGAATTGCAGATTTTCTAAGATTTAAATTATTTTAGAGCATAGTCGCCAAAAATTATATCTCCTTGTTCATGTCAGTGAATGTATGAAACATTAGTTACCAGTCTGATTAGTTTACTTGATCCATACACTTGCATGTTAATTATATTCTCGAAATAGAAAAAAGTCGTATCCGGCAAACAAAATTTAACAATGAATCTTACGACCAATCATACAGCCTGATACTTAATCTTTAATTTCTATTAGTATGGGGAACCAATCACCCCAAAACTACATGTCGTTTGACACGACTCACCTTTAATTGTCCTTCTAATTCTTTGATCGTCGTACGCAACTCCAATGTTAATGTAGAGTCATTTGATGATTCCTGTTTTCCACCCATTTTATATGGTTTAACGCAGTCAGTCCTTGATATTTCTAATGATTCTGAAGAATTTTCCATGTTGTCAGGCTCAACAAATATAGCTTCTTTAGACAAATCCGCATACCTAACCGACCGCTTGCCTGAACGACGCTTTGACTTTTTGGACTTAGTGAGAGGAACTTTCGAATCATTTACTGGAGATAGAATATCTGTGGTTGGACTATGTTCTGAAGAACCTGGAGAAATAACCGAATCTGAATCCTCACTCTGATTTCTGCTTAATGTAGCTTGTGAAAAATCTAAACTGGGACCTTCGACATAAGATTGTTCGGTCTTGTGAGTAGAAGTATCAATGACTTCTGAATCTCCCTTACAACAGTTTTCTTCATATATCACTGGCTGGATAGGTCTTTCAGCTGACTGCTCACTGCTACTTGATGAATAATCGTCAAGAAGCACATCTGATAGATGTTCATCCTCTTCACCAGTTGTGTCGTCTGACGTTTGAGTTTTGTCCGTTTCTATTTCTTCAGTTTGTTGAGAATCAACTAACACTTTCCGTTTTTTAACTTTCTTGGACTTTCTTACGTCATTTTTTTTTCTCCTGCGGGCTAAGTTTTCTGAATCGTGATGGACAGAAATACGGTGAGGGAACAAAGTATTCCTGAACATAAAATAAAGTACACTGGATACTATGCAGACGATCATCGTTATTAAAAACCCCTGTAGCGCACTTTCGCTATCCCACTCCATTTTGAATTCTACGTATCAAAAACAAAAATATTTGGACACCTTACATAATTCAAATGTGGAAAATCTCTTCTACAAGAAATACTCCCCAGATAAAATGATTATTTAAGTTGCTCGCTATCAAAAAATTAGCGTTATAAGTAATGAAAACAACCATTAGTCGAAATTCTCCATTACTTCACGGACGCTGGTCCAAATATTTACCAGAACAAGTAACTAAACTTCAATTTATCGTTAATAGGGCAACGGGTAAAGATGCAGACTACTTGGTTGGGGTCCGCGTGGCTTTCGTAACCCATGGTTGGAGACTCTTGGTGACATGGCTCAGAATCAATCACAATGGAATAGGTGTATACACTTTCTGTCTTCCCTTAAACTATGAGATTAAAATCGTTTCATATCCTTCTTTCTACGAAATAATTCTTTCTTCCTGTACTATATCCTTATATGCAATCATTATTTTATATATTACCACCAATTACTTAACCACTCATATGAATCAGGTGTTCATCTTGCTGTGCTAATGAGGTATGGCAACTTGGACCGATGCATATATGTGCCTGATCCTACGTTGTAGCTGACTGACTGGGCAAAGAAATGAACACTGACAGGAATTCAAAGGAATCTAGGTAAGTTAGCAGAATGGTCTGACTTTAGACAATTTTAAGCAGGAGCATAACGAAGCATAATGACCATTAAGGCAAGAAACAAATAACGCTGTTGATACAGTGATGTAGATGATATTATAGGTACAGGAAACTCAGTAGGTAATAGGTCGGTCAGGGATAAGTAACAGTACACCTGACATACATTTTCCACCGGCTTCAGTTCTCACACAGCATAGCGTGTTGAAATTAATGAGACCGGTATCCGTGATGGTAGTAAAAAGGATTGGGGATATACAAACATGATTTTGGAACGAATTCGCCGAATAAAGAGTATAAAAATTATTAAAACTCAGGATCTAATGGTAGACAACGAGTGAATACATTTGCATCATATCACCAAACGTCTGTAATTATTCGTCTGAACTTACAACAGCTAAGTGCTAAAGGTCGTGACACAAGAAATACGCAGTGTTTATTAGCCTAGATACCAAAACATTTATGACATCTCAGTGTTTATTGGCTTAGAACCAGAGCATTTGATAAAGGTGGTAGCGAGTTATAGGAACTTTGACAAACCCGCTGAAACCCTGAAGCCGTGATACAACGACGAATTTGCTGAGATCTATTACCTATATCAGACAAAAAGCCTTGAAGTGAGCTGACTGAAATTCTATAATTATTTAATAGTTTTGTACTTGACATACTTATATTGTCTTTCAAAATACAAGATTTCTTGGATGAAAACGTTCACAAATCTGGGGACGACGATTTATCAGTTGAATTCTACTTGGTATCTCCATTAAGCATAACTTGCCAGCTAGGTAGACGGTAACAGCTCTCATCACATATGTATTCAAATTAAAGTTGTGTAAGCTATGTCTCATCACCAGGACTAAGGCATGCTTTCTGTCATTACAAACCAGATCTGGTTAACATGTTAACAAGGCCAGAATTAAACCGAGTTTAGTGTAAGAAAAGTAGAAATCGCATGGCACAAGTCGAAAAGTTGTCTGACCCATTGAGTTGCGAATTTATTTAGTAAGTTGTTGACTAGATAATTGAGTATGCATGGTCAGTACGTCCATTCCTTCAGTGAAACTCACAAGCTGATTATGAAAATCCAAAAACCCTCTAGTACTATGCATACTACGGAGCAACATACTATCTACGACTTATGAAAAAGGCAATTTGATGGAAGGCACTTATATTTCAGTATTTCTGTAAATAGAAACTAAAATCCCAGGGAACTACTACTTTGCCACAAAGAATTTAGGATTCAAAGTTTTGAAAAGGAATATTCCATTTGATTCGTATCTCGATGTGAGAGGACGACTATGAATTTTTCGAACAGTCTAGAAATGCTGACTTAGCCACTTTTTGTCATCGTGAATGGGACGTACTTGGAAATTCATATTTTGAGGAATGTTAAGTGGGTAAGTCATAATGCACCTGGACGAGTTAGATATGTCTCACGCGAAAGATGAACCTCACGCTATTAATGATTACTAAGGCGAATGGTAAGTAGTGCTGAAAAGTAGAGATAATGCTACCAAAGTTTTAACTGAATGATAACGAAAGTAGCGGTTTGCAGATAGCTAGAAAGTACTAAGGGAAAATGCAGAGTAGCGTGAATGAGGAGAGCTGGAAGAGATGGACAAAAGAAAATGCGGCTCCAACGATTGATAACTTGGTGTGAAACCTGCATGACACGAGCATTTCATTTGACTTCGCCTTTTATACATGCCTATTTTCTGAATTATCCTGATATGGTGGCAGGAAAAAAATGTGTCATGTCCGTAGTCATTTTTAAGTATTCTGTAGAACAAAACCAGAGTACTCCTTAATCCGCGGTAGGAAAAAGTATAAAGGTCCGATGCTGCCATTGGTAAACAACGAGGTTCCAAAATTGCACAAGCATCTTCCCTCTGTATTTTAAGTAGTTCCACTGTATTGAACTTGAGAGCAAAACTCAGTCATACATTTAAACAGCATTCTAGTTAGTGTCAGTTAACTGACATTACAGAGTCATTATGAAAGACATAACTTCGATTCTCACCCTGAAATAATACTCCGAACCCAAATAAAAATTTTCATACTAATTTGGTGAGTTTACGTCTAGAACAAAGGAACCTAGTGTAAGAAAAAGTAGGTGGGCTTATCTGGAATGAAAAAAGTATGCCGGAGACTCACAAGAAAAGGAGACTTACTCACTTGTGACAAAGAAAGCAACTGAAGACGACCAAAAGTAACACAAAGCGAGATTGAAGCAACTGATAATCCAAACAAAAGCTGATGTTGCCAAGTTTCGAACCTGTTACAAGTTCGCGTGAGTTAACACGGCGCGTCTAGAATGGGGCAAGAAATGATGTGACTAAACAAATAAAAGCATTGGTCTGAACATTTGGTTGAATTTAGCCTTTCTACCACAAAAAACATTTACAACATCAGCTTTACATTGTAGCGGTAAATAAATCCCCAAAATAAATAGCACTGTAAGTTTTCGACATTGGATGCTGACCATATGTTTTAGTGGACTCATCTAGCTGAAGGCGCTCGGTCAGGCATCCGCACCAGATCACGTGTAGTAACGCCGTGCTCAACATCAACCACAATCGCTAGCCAGATTAGATCAGAGAATCCCGGTATATTGGTCATCGCCAAATATACTCTTCCGATCTCCTCGACTCTGTCTTTTGATTTCTCTTGGTGGGAACGAAACATATTAGAAGGTGTTACTGGTAGAAGCGTTGTCAAACACTGAATACCTGTGACATCATCATTGGTGAGACCGTCGTGATCTGGTACACCTTATTGCAACTGTGAGTCTGTTCCTTTTTGGGATTTTTATATATCATTGCCTTATTTTTTATTTTTTTTAAACATTGTGATTTTTTTTCGTGTTTTTCTTGGATATATATATATATTTTCCCCTCGTTCATTATCGTACTTCATATTTCATCATGACTGAACAGACACCTAAAGTACTCAAGCTTAAGACCTTGTCCCCACCTTCGTTTCAACTGATGCCTTTCTGGCCCGACAACATCGAAGCCTGGTTTTGCTACGCAGAAGCCGACTTTTCCGAGCACGGCGTGATCGACACACGTGCACAATTCCTCGCAGTAGTCAAGGCACTGCCGCGCGAATTCAACAGGTACGTAACACCTAGTATGTTTACTAGTGATGTTTCCGATCCTTACGAAATCTTAAAACGCTCGATTCTTAAACGAGGAGACCTAACCGATCGACAAAGGTTAGATCAACTCTTCAACAATATCGACCTGCAACACGGTTCTGCGACGGACATGTTGCAACGGATGAGAGAGGTTATAGGCCCAAGAACTTTCGACGAAGGTCTATTCAAACAACTCTTCTTGTCAAAACTTCCCCAACAGGTGCAAGCAGTTCTGGTCTCGTTCCAGAACAACGCCTTAGACGAACTAGCTGTATCTGCCGACCGCATTCTAGAAATTACGAAACCTTCTACTACCGAGGTATTTTCAGTCAAAGAAAAGCCTCACACGACTCAGAATGACATAACCGACTTATGTCACACACTCACGCGTTATCTTAGTCTTCGTACCGACCGTAAGAGATCGCGCACACCACGTAGAAGCATTTCTCGTAAGCGATCTGTCTCTAGACCACGAGAGACAGATAACCCCGACTGGTGCTGGTATCATAACCAGTATGGAAAGTTTTCCAGAAATTGCAGAAAACCCTGCAATTTTCCCAACACGAAACCGACTGATTCGGGAAACTTCCAAGCCGGCACGCGTTAACGGCAACCGTAGCCGGCGAACAAAGCCGTCTGTTATTCGTCACAGATGTGACAACGAGAGTTCGCTACCTCGTCGACACTGGCGCAGAAGTTAGCGTTCTCCCAGCAAATCCTAACGACCGACTTCACGAATCGACCCTAAACTTACAGGCGGCAAACGGAAAACCGATCGCTACGTATGGCAAAAGGTACGTTTACCTTAACGTGGGTTTACGCAAACCCATCCACTGGATTTTCGTCGTTGCAGATGTTTCTATGCCAATCATTGGTATGGACCTTCTACAACACCACAATCTGATCATCGACACTCGCAAACGGAGGCTAGTAGACGGAAACACTAATTTGTCCGTTTGCGTAACTTCTTTTACTGGTTGTAGAGTATCCCCAGTCACAGTTAAACATATGATAGACCCACTCTATCAACCACTACTCGATAAGTACCCTGGGATACAACAAACTCAAACGAAACTACCGTGTGTAACCAGCAATGTTACACATCACATCACGACTACAGGACCACCTGTATTTTCTAAAGCACGACGACTAGCTCCTGAAAAGCTAAGGTTAGCGAAAAACGAATTCGATCACATGATGGACTTAGGAATCATACGACCGTCAAGTAGCCCATATGCATCTCCGTTGCACATGGTCCCTAAAAAGGACAGCAACGATTGGCGTCCAACTGGTGACTATCGGCGATTGAACGCGAAAACCATTCCCGATCGTTACCCGTTGCCTCACATTCACGATTTGACAGCTACCTTGAAAGGTACAACTGTCTTTTCGAAAATCGACTTGGTTAAAGCGTATAACCAAATCCCTATGGCCACTGACGACATACCGAAAACGGCTATCATAACTCCCTTCGGACTCTATGAATTTTTGCGAATGCCTTTCGGTCTAAGGAATGCTGCTCAAACATTCCAAAGATTCATAGACGACGTTTTTCGAGGTCTCAACTTCGTACACGCGTATGTTGACGACTGTCTAATCGCAAGTCCGGACAGAGAAACACATCTCAAGCATCTGGACCTTGTTTTCGAACGATTACAAAAACATGGCATAACTGTAAACGTTCAGAAATGCCAATTTGGAACCGACTCGTTAGACTTTCTGGGACACACTATCGATGCTCAAGGTATCCGACCCCTTAGAACCAAAGTGGCGGCCATTCTGGATTACCCAGAACCGACCACCGTCAAGCAATTACGCACGTTCAACGGCCTGGTAAGTTTCTATAGACGTTTCATACCCAGATGCGCATCACTTATGAAACCTCTGACCGACCAACTTCGTGGAAATGCGAAATCCATTAATTTGGACGACACCGCACGAAAAGCATTCTCCACAGTCAAGGAACTGATTGCTAAAGCAACAATGCTCGCACATCAGGACACCCGAGCACCCATTAGCATCGCAGTAGACGCATCCGACTCAGCAATCGGAGGAGTCTTACAACAATGGGTTAACAACTCCTGGCAACCCTTGGCATTTTTCTCTAGAAGGTTGCTAGACACCGAATCGAGGTACAGCACATTCGGTAGGGAACTCCTAGCTATGTATTGTGCTGTACGGCATTTCCAACACTATATCGAAGGCCGTGAATTCACTCTTTTCACGGACCATAAACCGCTCACTTTCTCGTTAAGCTCTCCTTCTGACAAGTACTCTCCCCGTGAGTCTCGACAACTGGACTACATTTCGCAGTTTACTTCAGATATTCAACACATCTCTGGAGCAAACAATGTAGTTGCAGACGCTTTATCTCGTATAACTTCCTTGAACAGTTTCCAAGGAATCGACCTTCTTAAACTCGCCGAGCTTCAAAAAGAAGACAGTGATCTTCAGCACGAGTTATCGTCCACAACACTTAAACTACGCATCAAACAGATGGGAACAGGTAAGGAAACCTTACTTTGTGACACATCTACAGGTAGGGATCGCCCAATCGTGCCGAAACATTATCGACGCAATGTCTTCAACACATTGCACAAACTTTCTCATCCAGGTGTTCGTGCAACCATCAAGCTTATAGCAGAACGATTTTGCTGGCCTGGCATGAATAAAGACGTGAGGGAGTGGGCACGCTCCTGTGTAAGCTGCCAAAAATCTAAGGTTATCAGACACAATAAATGTCCCTTAGGCTCGTTTAAAACTCCCGATGCTCGTTTCGACCATGTTCATCTGGATTTGGTAGGACCTTTACCAGATTCAAATGGATACTCTTATCTCTTAACCTGCGTAGACCGTTTCACTCGATGGCCAGAAGCAGTACCTATCAAGGACAGCACTGCTGAAACAGTGGCCCGCACATTCGTCGAACGATGGGTAGCAAACTTCGGTTGCCCTTCAACCATCACTACAGACCGCGGACGTCAGTTTGAATCTGATCTTTTCCGTCGTCTGACCACACTTTTAGGAATCACTCGCTTCCGAACGACCGCCTACCATCCCCAAGCAAACGGGTTGGTAGAACGTTTTCACCGACAACTGAAAGCTTCGCTATCAGCTGCAAACGTTTCACAATGGACCGACGCTCTTCCACTCGTCTTACTAGGTATCCGCAATGCAGTGAAAGCTGACATTGGATACACTGCGGCTCAACTCGTTTATGGAACGACACTTCGACTTCCAGGAGAATTCGTGGATCCTTCGTGCTCTTCGATGAACATGGATCTAACCTCCTACACGAACAGGCTTACAAACGCAATGCGTTCAGTTAAACCTGCTTCCACTCGACCTCAATCAACTGATGTTTTCGTTCAACCTGACTTACGATATAGTACACACGTTTTCATTCGTCGAGACTCGCATCGACGACCATTCGAATCAGCATACGAAGGACCCTTCAAAGTTCTTCAACGTGAATCTAAGTACTATATAGTCGATAAGAACGGAACCAACGATAGCATCAGCATCGATCGCTTAAAAGCAGCGTATTTAGAAGGAAATCCTATCCACGTCGATTTTCCTTCGGTACAATCGAACGACACGACTCAGACACTAATAATACCTCATCCGACAACCAACACACCGAAGATACTTCGACAGTATCCGAAAATAAACTTAAAACGACGCGTTCTGGAAGAAGGGTGAGATTTCCAGAACATTTAAACGACTATTGCACGTAAGGCACTTCTCGACATTTTATATTATTTATTTTTTTTTTGAAAAAAAAACAATTTTAATATGCTTATATATTTTTATTTCTATTAAAAAAAACAAAACAAAAAAAACAATTTTTTAACGCTATTACGTGCTCATGAGTTTATTTTCCATTTTTTTTCCGCCGACCTTGTTTTTTTACGCATATACGAGTGTATTTCGACATGCACTTACATTTTCTTTTTTCTTTTCCAGGACGGCTGGAAAAGAACGATGACGTTTATGAGGATCCGAAATTTTCATTGTACATTTTCTTTTTTTACTATGTTGTACCTCCGTCCCATATAGTAAGGAAAGACGACCAGACGCTGCTAAATTTAGTAAGCTATCAGAAGAGTGTTTACCAACGACAAACTCGTTGGGTTTAAACTTCTGGCTGGCCACGTCTTAGGGTCGTCACTGCCCCACTAGGGGGGGAGTGATCTGTAGCGGTAAATAAATCCCTAAAATAAATAGCTCTGTAAGTTTTCGACATTGGATGCTGACCATATGTTTTAGTGGACTCATCTAGCTGAAGGCGCTCGGTCAGGCATCCGCACCAGATCACGTGTAGTAACGCCGTGCTCAACATCAACCACAATCGCTAGCCAGATTAGATCAGAGAATCCCGGTATATTGGTCATCGCCAAATATACTCTTCCGATCTCCTCGACTCTGTCTTTTGATTTCTCTTGGTGGGAACGAAACATATTAGAAGGTGTTACTGGTAGAAGCGTTGTGAAACACTGAATACCTGTGACATCATCAACATAAAGTCGATATATGAAGACTTAGCATAACTCAATATGCTTTTTGCAAGCATGGTTTTTAATTAAAAAAATACTTTTGTAATGTAGAGGTAAATAAATCCCCAAAACAGATAGTTATACAGATCTTCCACGTTGTTTCTGACCTCATTAGTTTGACCGCACGCACCCTAACTGAAGGTACTCGGTCATGCATCCGTACTAAATGATGAGTAGGTATGATGTGTTACTCACCTCTTGCAACTGTTAGCCAGATTATAGCAAATGCTTCTCAACATATTGATAGCTTTCCAAACACGTCCTTAAACCCTCCAATTTTTTATTCTTATTTCACTGGGTTTGCATCCTACGACTGAAAACGTGTTGTGTGTAAAATCTCTGTTAAACTCTAAATACCTGTGGTATCTTGAACAGTTTAGTGGTAAATAAATACCCAAAATCGATAGCTCTGTAAGTCTTCGACATTTGATGCCGACCGCATTTGTTTTAATGGACTCACCTAGCTGAAATCGCTTGGTCACGCATCCAAAGGAGATCACAAATGGGTACTCTGTGCTCCATATCTCCTATGACCGATAGTCAAATTAGATTGATAACTTCTCGATATATCAACGGTTTATCAAGTATATCTTTGAATCTCTTCGCTCCTGACACTTGGAATAACTGGGTTGGCGCGTTTTGATGATAAAACGTGTTTGTGGTTATAGTATTGTAGTGAACTACTTTTATCAAGAGAATGCAATTGGTGTACCAAAATACATACATTCTCCCGTTGATTGTGACCTTGTACGAACTTACGTTTGCTCAGTAGTTCCACTTGTACTCATTTGGCACGATTGTAGCGTGGCGTCGAGTCGAAATTGACTATGAACACCGCTACCAATAAACACGTGCCAAATAGATCAGAAGGCGTAAGAAGCTCGTTCCAAATGACTCCATAAAATCCCGGAGAAGCCGAATACCAGAAGGCAATTAATGGACCAAGTCGAGTTATATTTGCTGGCGATCTCGTGGCATCGAAAGGATACCGAGATCGTGCCAGGATACAACCTTGGTTACAGAAGGTAACCGAATTCGCGCGAAGTTACAATCGAAGTGTAAGTAAAAGAATGGAAGCACAAAATAGCTGTCATTAGCACAGTCAAACAAAAGCACATTAAAACAAGCACTGGTACAGTTGGTTATAATAATAATTGTTTCTATTAAACCAGTTGTGTTCTCGTGATAAATGTGAGTCACTACAGGAGCCCCCCGCTAGAAAGGGTTTACACTTTCGATAAATAGCGGTTTGAATCGTAGGACTGAGCGGCTGACGAGCGATTGTAGGACGGAAGAATTGGCGAACAGGAAAGCGATCCTTGATCGTCGAGTTGCCAACGAAGGTCGCTTTCGGAGAACGGTACCAGGAGCGATGTGCTGTATTTGTTGCTTGAGTTGGCATGCTACACCAGAGTGGTTTGTATCCAGAATCTGAAGATGGCGTTCGTAGGGGTCCGGACCAGAAACGCTGCAGACGTAGGACGAAACCACGTTGATCCGATGAACCAGAAGCGACCATAACGACCAAGTTCGAGACCAAGCGTGTGCCAAAAATTCGAAACGAAGATATCGACTGAGTACGTTGACAAGAGCGTGGGTGATCAGGCCAGCTTTCGCCAAAGTTGACTGAAGTCGACGGAACCAAACGGAGATGGTCGAAGGCGTGTGCTCAGGAAACAAAAAGAAAATCAAAAAAGAGAAGAGTGTAGCATGCGTGTAGTATAGGAATAATCCTACACCGTATCGTTTTTTAACTGTGCGGCTAGTCGCGGAAGCGTACGGGTAACCGTACTCGGCGACCGGAACGTGAGACGGTAGTCTCGTTCGCGTCGCGTGAGCCTGCAACCTCATCCGAAGTCAAGGGCGGCGTGGTCTGCTGATCTGGACGTGAGACTGTCGTCTCGTCCGTAGACGGTGCAGATGACGCGTGCTGTTGACTGGGACGTGAGAATGAGGTCTCAGATGTATCTCAGGTTGTCAGATAGGGCACTGTCATCGACGTGTGCTGGTTTGAGACGATCAATGTTGACGATCTCGACGCGGCCATGTCGATCAACCTTGAAGGTCATTTCGTGACGAGCGATCACGTGAAAAGGGCCTTCGTAAGGTTGTTGCCAAGGTTTGCGTACCGAATCTACTCGTACAAAAACATGTGAACAGGTAGATAACTCTCGAGGGAGAGCGACCTGTCGATGTTGTATTCGAGTTGACACCGGAGACAGCGTTCACATAAATGCAGACAGTCGACGGACGTTGTCTGATTTACCGAAATTAGGTCTGCTCCGTGGTGTGAAGAATTCTCCGGGCAGACGCAATGTCGTGCCGTATACAAGTTCAAGGGCGGAATATTGGATATCTGCCTTTAAGCTCGTTCTGATCCCTAAAAGAACGAGCGGTAAGGTTTCGTGCCAGTTGCCATTTTCGTGTGCTCGTAGAGCATTTTAAGTTGGCAGTGAAACCGTTTACTTAACCATTTGGTGCTGTGTGGTAGACGGATATGCTCATGCGTATGCATTCCGTACCAAGCAGCCGGGTCAGCGAGGAGAATAGTTAATAGGGTAACATTTCTCGAATAAAGCGTGGAATTCATCATCACGCGAATAAAAAGTGACAAGGATTCGGTACACATACGTGTGAGTCTATTATATTAATACTATTCTTATAGTTATCCGTCATGTCGCGTATATTATATATTAAAAAATATGAAAATATACGACAGACGTGGATAGATAAATCATAGACTCACCGAATTGGCTTCTTTGGAAGATTTGATCAGAAGTTGAGGCGTGTTCCAAAATACGGGTCACCAATGTAGTCGAATTGGGATTACCAATTGTAGCGTGGCGTCGAATTGAGATTAACTGTGAACACCGCTACCAATAAACACGTGCCAGATAAATCAGAGGGCGAAGGTTGGACGTAACCAAATAGATCCATAAAATCTCCGAGAAGCCAAATATCAGAAGACAGTTAATGGACCAAGTCGAGGTGTATATTTGCTGGCGATCTCGTGGCATCGAAAGGATACCGAGATCGTGCCAGGATACAACCTTGGTTACAGAAGGTAACCGAATTCGCGCGAAGTTACAATCGAAGTGTAAGTAAAAGAATGGAAGCACAAAATAGCTGTCATTAGCACAGTCAAACAAAAGCACATTAAAACAAGCACTGGTACAGTTGGTTATAAGAATAATTGTTTCTATTAAACCAGTTGTGTTCTCGTGATAAATGTGAGTCACTACACGATCTCGGTGTTAAAGCGATACCACGAGATCGCCAACAAATACGTCTCGACTACAGCCATCAACTGCCCTCTGATTTTTGGCCTACGGGGGATCTTATCGATCAAATGGCACATAGTCTTCCTGCAGTGGTGATCATATTCAAGCGCGACTCGACGCGACACTACAGTGTCATTAAACTCCGACTACCTGTGACACCTTTAACAGGAAAACGCACGTCCATGAATAAGTTTCGGTACTGCGCGTTCAACCGGGTTCGTTCTAGGTCTGTACTACTTGTCACGATTGGCTTTCCATACTTTAAATCTACCGGATTATCTAAATTTCACAAATAATACAGGAGAGTTTCGCTATGTCGTTAGGTGATCTATCACGTTTTCGGTACTTCTTATCACGTGCTTTTTCACTGGCCATGTGGATTTCATATGAACTACTCCCAAAATCTTTATGTTCTTAGATATATCACAAAGCTACAGATGAAAACACATCATCATGAGAAAATGCGTTGTATTCAGAGGGACATATTCGATTGAGCTTTGGTTAGATAATTCCTAATTCGGATCATCATCGCTTCATATTCGTGAATGGTACTAAGGTAACTACAACAACCGCCTATTAAAATTCGTCATTATACCCGTCATGTCCCCAACTGTAGATCCATAAGTCAAATGCCAACATCTAATTTTTTTGTCAACTTTCTTTTTATAACTGCTATATTCCTCGACAACGTAAATGTTAACATGGCTCGCATGGACTGTATCATCCGACGGTGGTCACACCAGCTTTTCTATACGCATTCTTAATAATATCTTACCATAATAACGTCTTTTGTGTTATACGGTCCTCAAAGCAGTCATAGAACTTTGATATAACCAAGGGGTGATCCACGTTAGGTGATGAACATGAGGCGTGGATTCGAATTTGACTGTTGGTCACATCGTTCCTGTCTAACTTGAATAGGTCCCCAATCATTCGAAATAGATCATCTACTTTTGTATTCTACATGCATTTGGAAGTCTAATCACATTCGGAATCATATGCAAATAAAGTTTCGGTTATTGTGTAATGGTGAAATGTATTAAAAATAAATGGTTTTAAAGACTTCGATATTGTTGTTAACATTATTAGTTTTACTGGAAATACTCGTAACTGAAGTCCAGCATTCGCAATAAATCACATTTGGGTGTACCGTGATGTGTTTATCTAATGCCATTTTGTCAGCTCGTATTACATGTCCACTGAAATTTCGATTGCACTGTAATTTATGGACGATCTTTGAGCGACGCTAGATCAACCTTGAGAGTGTCCACCTACTTGCCGGGGCTAAATGAGGGTTATAAAGCAACTTGAAGAATAAGAATTATGATTTGCAGTTGATGGTTAAGGTTAGGAATTAGATTAAGGGTTTCCATCACGAACTGACATCAGCTATAATGCCAAAATTCTATTTAGCCCAATGGGTGAATGAAGTTCGCGCCAATATCTTAAACGTCTTATCGTAAATCTGATTAGTTCGTCCATAAATTATAGTCTCGCCAAAATTTTAGCCATTTTCCGATTATCTATTTTCGTCCCATCATTTCGGACATGTAGTTTAACTGATTTTGGGCTCCTCGAACAAAATAAGGTTACGGACATCAGAATCAAGTGCTACATAGCTGTGGCAACTCTGAGTAGAAGTAACCTAACAGAATCGGAAAACAAGTCGGAAAACTCTTCAATTTATCCACCGCACTCCTTTCAAAAAGGGCAGTGATTCTTGTACCTGTTTTGATTATCCTTGCTTTGGGTACTTGTAGCACCAAAAAGCATTCTCGGTCTATTCTAACTAAAAGTACTTTGGTTAAGGTTTGTAATTTTTCGCTCAACTTTGTCTTGTGGTAACTTTTTTTACTCCCTGACTGACACTAGTTTTCTCACTGTGATCATTTTGTGTTTAGACCTTTTAGTCAAAATTAAAGTGTTTGGTAAGACTCATAAATGTGACAACCAAACTGCTTGTTCCTCGTTGGGGAAGGGTTGCGATGACTAAAAAGTGGCACCATAAGATGTGTGCACGCCTAAGTCCTATGGCATACAAAAGATGTTCAAAGCCTAACTCACATTGGTTTTGTATGTTCTGCTGTAAAAATAAAAAGTTACTAATTCATGAGGCTATGAGCCTATTGGCTTCGGCCTGCAAGAAACGATGGCGGTAGCGCTGGTAACACGAGCACTGACGGTGGAGATTGTGTCAGTGTAGTAAGTGCTGCTATCGGACTCGCTAAACACCTGACTGTGGTTGACGGGAAAGTGAAATCTCCGTTGAAATTAACGAGTGAAGTACCGGTAGATACTGACATCGACAATCATACACCTCTAGTCGAAAATGAGGACCCGGATAAGACTGTCACCGTTCCCAATAGTCCCGGTGTGGCTGTCCTGAATGGTGATAGGTGGACTTCAGTACGGAGAAAAAGAAATGAGTAGAAAAAAGCTGTAGGCAAAACACAGCTGGTTAGCAAGTCGTTGGAAGAGACGGTATCAGAAACAAAAACTCCACTGCGTGACAAGTCAGATCTCTCTGAGATATCAGTCACTTTTCATAAGTTAAGATAATCTTCCGATAAAGAACCAAAGGCTAGATTTGAACACGATCTCAACCATATTAAGTCTTTAATAAGTAAACTACTCCCAGATACAGTTTCAGGAGTTAGTATTTGTAAGCTTTATAGAATATGAGAAAAGATGGATGCCGAAAGTCCTCAGAGAAGCCGCCTCTTGAAGGTTACATTCACCACTGTTGAAGAAAGGAACATGATTCTAGATAATTCACGTAAAGTGACTGGAGCCGGAATATACGTCCGTGAGGATCTCAGCCTAGCTGATCGTATTAAGAGGCAAGTTACAGAAGCGGAAATAAATGAGCGTCGCCAAAACGGAGAAAGAAACCTCGTTCTTAAGGGTTTCCAAATTGTAAAAGTTCGGAGCAAAGCGATCCCCAAGCCACTCTGGGTGTTAAGGGAAAGTTCTCCACATACTTAAAGTTATGCTACACAAATGCTCGCAGCCTACTAAATAAAATGGGGGAGCTCAAGTCAATGATGAATAAAGAAAAAAGGACGTTATTGCTGTCTCGGAAAATTGGTTAACGTCAGAAATATTAGATAGTGAAATCCAGTTGACTAGTTTTCTAACCAGTAGGGCTGATAGATTAAACCGTAGGGGAGGTGAGGTTATTCTGTACACGAAAAATGCCCTAACCATAAGACTAGCTGAGACAGTAGCACATGTTTCAGGGACATGTGAACTGGTGCGATCTTAGTTGAAATGTCGACGGCAAGATATTGAATTAGTTGTAGTATATCGTAGTCCAGAATGTGTAGCAGATGATTTTCTTCTAAGTTAACTTAAGTCCTAGTGTAACAAGGGTAAAAGCCTTGTAGTAGGCGACTTCAAGGCACCATATATAAACTGGGTTAACTTAGAAAAATGGTCATCGATAACGTCCTTCGATTTCAAACTGTTAGAAACCTCGATTGGATTAGCTTTATTCTAACACATTAAAAATCCTACATCATACGACTTAAGAAACTCCTCTTCTCTTTTAGATTTAGTCTTCACACACAGTGATGACGTTGGTCATATGACTTTCCTCCCACCACTAGGGAGCAGTGACCATGCAGTCATCTTATTCAAATTCATGGATGAAACTGCCTGTTAAACAGTCGCGCCGGCCCGTCCTAACATATGGAAGGCAGACATGGGGGCAATCAACTCCGAATCGTTGGCTGAAAACTGGGAACTTGACTCTAACGCATCAGTACAAGAGGCATGGACTCTTTTCAGGCAGTTATACAGTCGGGTAGCTCAATCATACATACCCTGAACAGTCCCAAAGACGAAGAAGCATGACCATCCCTGGATAGGCCGGGATATTCGACGTTTACTAAGACAAAAGGAGAAATGTTGGGATGTTGCTATCCGCCCTGGCACAGCATGTACGATGGAACGCTACAGATCGTTAGGAAACAAATCTATAGCGAAAATTCGGGAAGCTCAAAGAAAATATGAAATGCAACTGGCACAATCTGCACTCAAGCAGCCCAAGAGAATATTCTCGTACATAAACTACAGAACAAGGATCCATCATTGGATTCCCAACCTAATTAAGGAAGGAAGTGAATCCGAAATGATAGAGGAAGATCAGGAAAAAGTAGAGGCTATGGCTGACTATTTTGGGACAGTTTTCACTCAGGAACCTCCTCTAAAGAAAGAACCAGGCCAAGATAAACAGTCAACAAACCACCTGCTCACCGTGGACTTCGATCAAGACGATGTACTTAAGGATCTTGGCACTTTAAACATGGAAAAGTCAACAGGGCCAGATGAACTACACCTCAAAATATCGGGACATATTGCACATTATATCGCGCCCCCACTGACTGTGATATTCAACATGTCACTTGATCAAGGAGTGCTACCTATGGACTGGAAGGAGGCGATAGTCACTCCCATACACAAAACAGGTCCACGACAAGTTCCATTGAATTACAGACCTGTAAGCCTCACCAGTGTTGTGGGTAAAATAATAAAAAGAATAGTCAAACGGACCATAATGGTGTAGCGGTAAATAAATCCCTAAAATAAATAGCTCTGTAAGTTTTCGACATTGGATGCTGACCATATGTTTTAGTGGACTCATCTAGCTGAAGGCGCTCGGTCAGGCATCCGCACCAGATCACGTGTAGTAACGCCGTGCTCAACATCAACCACAATCGCTAGCCAGATTAGATCAGAGAATCCCGGTATATTGGTCATCGCCAAATATACTCTTCCGATCTCCTCGACTCTGTCTTTTGATTTCTCTTGGTGGGAACGAAACATATTAGAAGGTGTTACTGGTAGAAGCGTTGTCAAACACTGAATACCTGTGACATCATCATTGGTGAGACCGTCGTGATCTGGTACACCTTATTGCAACTGTGAGTCTGTTCCTTTTTGGGATTTTTATATATCATTGCCTTATTTTTTATTTTTTTTAAACATTGTGATTTTTTTTCGTGTTTTTCTTGGATATATATATATATTTTCCCCTCGTTCATTATCGTACTTCATATTTCATCATGACTGAACAGACACCTAAAGTACTCAAGCTTAAGACCTTGTCCCCACCTTCGTTTCAACTGATGCCTTTCTGGCCCGACAACATCGAAGCCTGGTTTTGCTACGCAGAAGCCGACTTTTCCGAGCACGGCGTGATCGACACACGTGCACAATTCCTCGCAGTAGTCAAGGCACTGCCGCGCGAATTCAACAGGTACGTAACACCTAGTATGTTTACTAGTGATGTTTCCGATCCTTACGAAATCTTAAAACGCTCGATTCTTAAACGAGGAGACCTAACCGATCGACAAAGGTTAGATCAACTCTTCAACAATATCGACCTGCAACACGGTTCTGCGACGGACATGTTGCAACGGATGAGAGAGGTTATAGGCCCAAGAACTTTCGACGAAGGTCTATTCAAACAACTCTTCTTGTCAAAACTTCCCCAACAGGTGCAAGCAGTTCTGGTCTCGTTCCAGAACAACGCCTTAGACGAACTAGCTGTATCTGCCGACCGCATTCTAGAAATTACGAAACCTTCTACTACCGAGGTATTTTCAGTCAAAGAAAAGCCTCACACGACTCAGAATGACATAACCGACTTATGTCACACACTCACGCGTTATCTTAGTCTTCGTACCGACCGTAAGAGATCGCGCACACCACGTAGAAGCATTTCTCGTAAGCGATCTGTCTCTAGACCACGAGAGACAGATAACCCCGACTGGTGCTGGTATCATAACCAGTATGGAAAGTTTTCCAGAAATTGCAGAAAACCCTGCAATTTTCCCAACACGAAACCGACTGATTCGGGAAACTTCCAAGCCGGCACGCGTTAACGGCAACCGTAGCCGGCGAACAAAGCCGTCTGTTATTCGTCACAGATGTGACAACGAGAGTTCGCTACCTCGTCGACACTGGCGCAGAAGTTAGCGTTCTCCCAGCAAATCCTAACGACCGACTTCACGAATCGACCCTAAACTTACAGGCGGCAAACGGAAAACCGATCGCTACGTATGGCAAAAGGTACGTTTACCTTAACGTGGGTTTACGCAAACCCATCCACTGGATTTTCGTCGTTGCAGATGTTTCTATGCCAATCATTGGTATGGACCTTCTACAACACCACAATCTGATCATCGACACTCGCAAACGGAGGCTAGTAGACGGAAACACTAATTTGTCCGTTTGCGTAACTTCTTTTACTGGTTGTAGAGTATCCCCAGTCACAGTTAAACATATGATAGACCCACTCTATCAACCACTACTCGATAAGTACCCTGGGATACAACAAACTCAAACGAAACTACCGTGTGTAACCAGCAATGTTACACATCACATCACGACTACAGGACCACCTGTATTTTCTAAAGCACGACGACTAGCTCCTGAAAAGCTAAGGTTAGCGAAAAACGAATTCGATCACATGATGGACTTAGGAATCATACGACCGTCAAGTAGCCCATATGCATCTCCGTTGCACATGGTCCCTAAAAAGGACAGCAACGATTGGCGTCCAACTGGTGACTATCGGCGATTGAACGCGAAAACCATTCCCGATCGTTACCCGTTGCCTCACATTCACGATTTGACAGCTACCTTGAAAGGTACAACTGTCTTTTCGAAAATCGACTTGGTTAAAGCGTATAACCAAATCCCTATGGCTACTGACGACATACCGAAAACGGCTATCATAACTCCCTTCGGACTCTATGAATTTTTGCGAATGCCTTTCGGTCTAAGGAATGCTGCTCAAACATTCCAAAGATTCATAGACGACGTTTTTCGAGGTCTCAACTTCGTACACGCGTATGTTGACGACTGTCTAATCGCAAGTCCGGACAGAGAAACACATCTCAAGCATCTGGACCTTGTTTTCGAACGATTACAAAAACATGGCATAACTGTAAACGTTCAGAAATGCCAATTTGGAACCGACTCGTTAGACTTTCTGGGACACACTATCGATGCTCAAGGTATCCGACCCCTTAGAACCAAAGTGGCGGCCATTCTGGATTACCCAGAACCGACCACCGTCAAGCAATTACGCACGTTCAACGGCCTGGTAAGTTTCTATAGACGTTTCATACCCAGATGCGCATCACTTATGAAACCTCTGACCGACCAACTTCGTGGAAATGCGAAATCCATTAATTTGGACGACACCGCACGAAAAGCATTCTCCACAGTCAAGGAACTGATTGCTAAAGCAACAATGCTCGCACATCAGGACACCCGAGCACCCATTAGCATCGCAGTAGACGCATCCGACTCAGCAATCGGAGGAGTCTTACAACAATGGGTTAACAACTCCTGGCAACCCTTGGCATTTTTCTCTAGAAGGTTGCTAGACACCGAATCGAGGTACAGCACATTCGGTAGGGAACTCCTAGCTATGTATTGTGCTGTACGGCATTTCCAACACTATATCGAAGGCCGTGAATTCACTCTTTTCACGGACCATAAACCGCTCACTTTCTCGTTAAGCTCTCCTTCTGACAAGTACTCTCCCCGTGAGTCTCGACAACTGGACTACATTTCGCAGTTTACTTCAGATATTCAACACATCTCTGGAGCAAACAATGTAGTTGCAGACGCTTTATCTCGTATAACTTCCTTGAACAGTTTCCAAGGAATCGACCTTCTTAAACTCGCCGAGCTTCAAAAAGAAGACAGTGATCTTCAGCACGAGTTATCGTCCACAACACTTAAACTACGCATCAAACAGATGGGAACAGGTAAGGAAACCTTACTTTGTGACACATCTACAGGTAGGGATCGCCCAATCGTGCCGAAACATTATCGACGCAATGTCTTCAACACATTGCACAAACTTTCTCATCCAGGTGTTCGTGCAACCATCAAGCTTATAGCAGAACGATTTTGCTGGCCTGGCATGAATAAAGACGTGAGGGAGTGGGCACGCTCCTGTGTAAGCTGCCAAAAATCTAAGGTTATCAGACACAATAAATGTCCCTTAGGCTCGTTTAAAACTCCCGATGCTCGTTTCGACCATGTTCATCTGGATTTGGTAGGACCTTTACCAGATTCAAATGGATACTCTTATCTCTTAACCTGCGTAGACCGTTTCACTCGATGGCCAGAAGCAGTACCTATCAAGGACAGCACTGCTGAAACAGTGGCCCGCACATTCGTCGAACGATGGGTAGCAAACTTCGGTTGCCCTTCAACCATCACTACAGACCGCGGACGTCAGTTTGAATCTGATCTTTTCCGTCGTCTGACCACACTTTTAGGAATCACTCGCTTCCGAACGACCGCCTACCATCCCCAAGCAAACGGGTTGGTAGAACGTTTTCACCGACAACTGAAAGCTTCGCTATCAGCTGCAAACGTTTCACAATGGACCGACGCTCTTCCACTCGTCTTACTAGGTATCCGCAATGCAGTGAAAGCTGACATTGGATACACTGCGGCTCAACTCGTTTATGGAACGACACTTCGACTTCCAGGAGAATTCGTGGATCCTTCGTGCTCTTCGATGAACATGGATCTAACCTCCTACACGAACAGGCTTACAAACGCAATGCGTTCAGTTAAACCTGCTTCCACTCGACCTCAATCAACTGATGTTTTCGTTCAACCTGACTTACCATATAGTACACACGTTTTCATTCGTCGAGACTCGCATCGACGACCATTCGAATCAGCATACGAAGGACCCTTCAAAGTTCTTCAACGTGAATCTAAGTACTATATAGTCGATAAGAACGGAACCAACGATAGCATCAGCATCGATCGCTTAAAAGCAGCGTATTTAGAAGGAAATCCTATCCACGTCGATTTTCCTTCGGTACAATCGAACGACACGACTCAGACACTAATAATACCTCATCCGACAACCAACACACGCGAAGATACTTCGACAGTATCCGAAAATAAACTTAAAACGACGCGTTCTGGAAGAAGGGTGAGATTTCCAGAACATTTAAACGACTATTGCACGTAAGGCACTTCTCGACATTTTATATTATTTTATTATTTTTTTTTGAAAAAAAAACAATTTTAATATGCTTATATATTTTTATTTCTATTAAAAAAAACAAAACAAAAAAAAACAATTTTTTAACGCTATTACGTGCTCATGAGTTTATTTTCCATTTTTTTTCCGCCGACCTTGTGTTTTTACGCATATACGAGTGTATTTTCGACATGCACTTACATTTTCTTTTTTCTTTTCCAGGACGGCTGGAAAAGAACGATGACGTTTATGAGGATCCGAAATTTTCATTGTACATTTTCTTTTTTTACTATGTTGTACCTCCGTCCCATATAGTAAGGAAAGACGACCAGACGCTGCTAAATTTAGTAAGCTATCAGAAGAGTGTTTACCAACGACAAACTCGTTGGGTTTAAACTTCTGGCTGGCCACGTCTTAGGGTCGTCACTGCCCCACTAGGGGGGGAGTGATCTGTAGCGGTAAATAAATCCCTAAAATAAATAGCTCTGTAAGTTTTCGACATTGGATGCTGACCATATGTTTTAGTGGACTCATCTAGCTGAAGGCGCTCGGTCAGGCATCCGCACCAGATCACGTGTAGTAACGCCGTGCTCAACATCAACCACAATCGCTAGCCAGATTAGATCAGAGAATCCCGGTATATTGGTCATCGCCAAATATACTCTTCCGATCTCCTCGACTCTGTCTTTTGATTTCTCTTGGTGGGAACGAAACATATTAGAAGGTGTTACTGGTAGAAGCGTTGTGAAACACTGAATACCTGTGACATCCATCAACTCTGATAAAAATTCACTCACCTAGATTACAATTTATACAGGTCCATGAATGACTGACAAATCGACCAGAATGTATGCATTTGAAAGGTTATGATACCAACCATCAAACATTCATATACCTGGACTTTCACCAAAACAGAAGGAAGTGAGCCCAAGGAAACCAACTGCTTTATACAAACTTGTCCGTGGATATCATTTATTTGAAACTATAAATCTAAGCCACTCTTGTATTTGTTAACTTACTGCCTATGTAACATAAGCAACGTCTCTTTACTGCTAGTACAACTAGATTATATTCCATGATTAAGATTTTAGTGGACAAACAAACATAAAAAACGTAAGTTATCGTCTCTCACCATACGCATGGGTTGTTCGATAATTAACTAGCAAGCCTGAAAAGATTCAGATAACTCAAATGACGAAATGGTTAAAATTCACTCCTTATTTTTGAAGTTCAGTCGATTGCGAATATCCCGGGAGCCTCAATACGTTATTTTGGAAGTACACCACCAATCAAAACCATTAAAATAACTTGTTGAGTGTATGGAAGCTTAGTTACATCAACACGATTGTGTCTGAGAAATAGCATGTGATCTATTAACAATTTTCTCACAATAGGAACGCTATTATTATGTACACGGTGGTTGTTTACGTCTAAATTCTGTAATAAATTGTGCCATTTGGTAAGTAACATGCATTGCTTAATAAATCTGTCCTTGTTGTATCATGTTATTATGGTTCAGTACGGCGTGCGACGTTATGGATTTAGGAACGAAAGCGATTGTGTTTCCCTACTACAGTATATTCTCTTTGGAACTGACAACAGTCTATTATGCTCAACACGTCAAACCTCGATTGCTAAGACAGGGAGAGGACAAAATTGTAGGTAATTTGATATATGTTATACAAAAATCCACTCAAACAATATTGGTACCAAAGTTGTCACTATAGTAGCAGAATATGGCCTTCGATCATGTGGCAATTTAGCGAACTAAAAAAACATGATAACCAATCAGAGGGTAAAAGTCGTGAGGAAGATCCAACTAGTAGAAAGTATGCGAGTGATTGTCGTTCCGGAAGAGATCTTAACCCTTTTAATAAAGTCCACGTGAGCAATCCTTCATTTTCTAAGTGCTCTGACTTCATGGAGTTATAGCTAAACATGCGAGCGATCGTACGGGATTTAACGTGAAAATAAACTCACACCATAAATGAAAGTTCTGGGAAACGGTTTCTGAATCAGTTATTACAACTTTTTCTAATAGCATATCGAACGAAATAATGTGACAAACTATCGACAGAACTTTTAAACATAGGTATTTACACCGGGAACTATCACTAAATGTAGACTTAGTAACCTATACCAGCCTATTAGCGTTCAACTTACATGAATGCCTAGGGATTAGATAATTACAACACAGACCTATTACTTTGTGGATGAAAAAATTGTTAGCTTGGGCGCAAGCTTAAATGACGCAAATGATGAAGGTTGTGAATGCAACACATAAGGAAAATGAAATAAAGATTACAATAAGATATTACTAGAATGTGTGGGACAGTTAATGAGATCTTCGTATGAATTGGTGAAGACTTAAAACAAACTCTAATTAGAGTATAGCATTATGTATAACCATACAAAAAAGGGGCAAAATTTCGGAACCATTGGCCTTTTTAAAACACTTTTACTTACATGGATGACTACAGTCTAAGTCAGATTGTTCGATCACGAGCTTACCCCTCATTTTAATACTTGAGTTGTAGTCCATATACTTCCTTCTATAAGGTTTACATGGTGACTGCGGTGACGTGACGCCTCCCCCAAAGGACCAGTCAAATAATTCTAATTTCTTTCTGGATATTGATCACGTAAGAACGCAGTCCCATGAAATATTGAATAAACAACGTGAATGCAGGCAACAAAACCTGCTGAAATTAAATGAAATTAAAGATTTCATCAAAAATCCTTTATGTTTTTTCTCCGGGCTGTTTACAAACGATGGTGATCTAGAGACTTGAAGGATGTTACAATTAGTGTTCTCTCCGGAAGAGTTACGCGACAT